ATGATGAAGAGACCGTGGAAATTATGACTTACACTTGTAATGTATGCCGAAAAAATTATAATAACTGGGAGAAACTGATTCTTCATAAGTACTTTAAACATAAATCTAACTTACCTTATAAATGTGGTATTTGCAATAAATCCTTTGTATTGAATAGTCATCTAAACCAGCATTTACTAAAACATGATGATTATCAACAAACTATGCGTCCTGTAGCTGTTCAAACTTCATCTAATATTAGTTTTAACAAAGTTCCTACAACATATAAAAGATTTCAATGCACTAAATGCATCTACAAAACTAAAACTGCAGAAAAACTATCATATCATTTATCAGTTTGTGATGGTTCAATAGAACCCACGACTGATACTGATACAAATGAATGCAATGTATGCATGAAAAACTTTTTTTCTAAAGGTCAATTAAACAAACATTTAACTTATCACAATTCCATCTCAAATTTAAATGTTCAAGTTTCTCATAGAAATGTTGTTGATAACCAACAGCCAGTTGGTTTCTCAAGCAATCAAGAAACCATGAATTCATCGACTAATGGAGTACCAAATACTAGAAGTACCGCCCTAAACAAATTTTTGGAATTTAAATGTTTATATTGTAAAGTAGCTTGCCGGTCTAAACGCACAAGAATTAATCATATTAAATCCCATCACCCCAATCAAGTAGTTGTTGAAAATAACTCATCTAAGTTGCCCACGACACCATGTCAATGGTGTGACAAGGTAATTACAAAACGTAACTTGTTACGCCATATCAAATCAAAACATCCCAATGTTAAACCATTTGATTGTACTTTCTGCTCTATGAAGTTTAAATTATTGTGTGGAAAGAAAGTTCATATTTCCAAATGCCATGCAACAAATTAAAAATAATGTTTATATTCAAGATACAAAACATTAATTATTTGAACTCATTTTCTTTTAAAAAGACTTAGGTTATTAAGTTCCAGTTTCTAATAATAATTATTAAAATAAAAAAATGTGTATAATAATGTATTGGGGTCTGACCACACAGGAATTTGTTGCAGCATATTAGCAGCCAAAAACATGATTTAATGGAGCGCGTATGCATTAAAATCATGGCTTTGAAATTTTCTAGTTTCTATTCTCAAAATTGTTTATGTATGGCCAGGCTCTTATAAGCTCACATTTATATGTACATAACATAATGTTAAGATGACTAACTGCCTGTTACATCAATAATTGCATTATTCAAATATTTGTACAAACAATGTATATTTATTCATTTTTTATTTATCCTAATTGTTCAATTTTACTCTCTATTTTTATTTGTAATTTTCATTAGAATAAATCATTTTACTATTTATTAGGTGAATAACCTGATTAGATTAATTATTGATAGTTTTTATATGTACATGCTGAATGGCATTAAATAATTTTAAAGATTGCTTTCAGTAATAATATGTGTGTGAAATTTAAGTGTGTCAACTTTTGTGTAACTCTATAAATATAATTGTATTTTTGTTTAGTTATTAGGTAATTTTTTTCATTCTTATTGTACAAAATGAACAAATAATTGAAATTAAGTATTCACTGTAAATACCAACACTAAAATATAAATCTTGATTTATTGTATACATTATGTATTATATTTTTAAAATAAAAACATTTTTTTTTTGTATATAATTAAGTCTTACAAATTTAATTGTTAATTTAATAACATGTGCAATAATATTATAATTTATATGTATCCATATAATTGTGATTCTTGTCATAATTGGATACATTAATCTGTTTTATTGAAAATATTTGTCAACAGTTAAAAAAAAAAAACTAATATATTAAGTGTACAGAAATAATAAATAACATGTCATATCCACCAGTTAAAGCACTTAACCACTATAATCACATTTGAGTTAAAAGGTTAAATTTGAGGTAAGTATGAGCAGAATATAGTATACACTTATTGCCCTACAATGTTATTATTTACAATCTATTAAAAAGGAATTGTTTTCACACCAATTGTCTTGAAATTAAATCAGCCATTTCTAATACACTATTGATACAATATGAATGCATAATACAATTTTTTTAAATTATATATTTAAAAAAAATGGCCTAATTGAAAATTTTAAAAGTGAAAAAATAAAGTTATCTTTTTTAACAATTAGTGGATGGAAATAAAAATTCAATTTTTCTTCATTTGTGATCCCCTGACACAAATCTAGATTGAAAAAAAATAAACATTGACAACAATATAGGTAACACTGCAAGACAATCTATATATTTAATTATGAAATAAAAAGTGTAATTGAAATATAAAATTTCACTAAGTTAACAAAGCCGTGTATAAAGAATTTATTTAAATACTTACTTAAAAAATAAACATTGGGAAAATTAGAGCTGTGTGACCCATTATCTCATGAAAATCTTTTTCTTTTTTTTTTTGAGATTTAAAATAAAATATCTTATGTTAGATAGTCAATTATTTAAGTAGGTTATTCATAAGTTAAGTGTTTACTTATAAAATAAAGTACCACTCCAGTCAAATTTCCTTTCAGAAAAGGTGTTACACTTGAAAATCAGAACAAAATTTCTGTTAAAAAAGTTGTTCATAAAAAAAAAAAAAACTGAAACTAATACAATTTTTGCTCCGCCTGGAATCTAAAAGCTGCCCTACGATGTACCTATTTTCCCAGTTTTAATAAATTAATAAATTAAGAAAATTGGAAAAATTAAAAAATGATCTGCATAAAATTCAGACAAAAGTATCTAAATATGTAGTTATTATCTTTGGGTATATCTTCATCTACCAATGAAGAAGAATAACCTGATAAATTGAATTAACTTCTTCAGAAGTAATATCTCATACAGATATTGAAATTAAGTCACAGATGGACTTAAGTTAAATCTATCAAACACAATGAAGAGAATTCAGTTTTAAATTTCAATCAATGTAAAGAGTCCATTAGTTGGATCCATAACTAATAAATCAGAAAATGCCCTTTTAAAGATTGAAGTTGAGTGACTATTCTAAAATAAATAGTCTAAAAAACAACTATTCCCATTTGCAGTCATAGCATAGGATAATGATGATACAATAACTTAACCATTGCTAATCAAAAATACGGTTCTAGATGGAGTTCAGTTGATATTTATGCTTTATCTACAATATATATGTCATATTATGGTTAAATTAGCTAAATAGACATTACATATTTTCTTTAATAATATTCTGATTTTCACGTTTATTTGTTTTTTCTCAGTTTTCCCATGTTTTTTCCTGTTTATCACATTTGCTGGGAATACTCTTGGGAAAATTGAAAAATTACCATGAAGATAAAATTTCCTTTTAGAAAATAAGCTACACTTGATAAATCGGAGCAAGATTTCTGGTAGAAATTTTGCAGAACAATTCGATGGGTATTTTTCGATTAAAATAGTCCAAGCGAGCGATATAGCTGGGTCTCTAGATGTACCTAAAATGTATTTGTTTTTTCCTTGTTTAGGTACAAGTGAAAAAATAATTGAAAACAATTTTTTTCGAAACACGAGTTCGAACTCTAGCATGAAACTAGGTATGTATAACCATTTAGTTATGACAAACATTCTTTTGAGGTAGCAATATTTAGTTATTTAACATAGGTGTAACATATATTAATATCCTTATAATATCAGAACTTCAAAAATCTATAATTCCGAAACTTAGTCCGCTCAATTCTGAATTTTTGATCGTTTTAAAATAGGCAGTATACATATGTTCGAAAAAAAAAAAAATTGAAAAATTAGATTCACATAATTTTTTTCTCAGCGATTTTCGTCAAAAATTGATATTAAAATTTCTTTATAAAAAAAAATACTACGACAAACTCAAATATTATTTTTTTGACCACAAAATAAAACTCTTAATGAACCTCCCGTTAAATTTTTCCGCATTTCTCTTAAGTCTAACAATTTTACCACAGAGTACCTACCAAATAAAAATTTCATACAAAACTCGCAAAATTAAAATATCTATAAATAGCTCTGAAATGGCTTAAATTTTTTGAAAATTTTACTACGTACATAAAAGTCAAATATAAATTTCCTATCCAAATTTTAAGTCCATAGAGATCGATACAAATATTTTTAACTAAATTTCAACAAAAATATTAAAATTTTTATAAATCCTAAAATTGGCCAAAAAGTTTCGAAAATTTGACCATGTCCAGAAAAGGCAAACATAATTATCCTGTTTAATTTCGTTATTATTAATTTAATTTAATTAATTTTACGTACCCCACCTTCCCAACTATACCTATCTAAAATAATGTCCCCAATATCACCTTTTTACTATACAATGCATTAACCTTTGGTAATCTAATATTATTCAATTTTGTTCTAAAAACTTGGTACTTATTTACAGATTTTAGGTATTTTAAAAATATTAAATCAAAATAAAATATTATAATTTGTTATAAATTACATTTTTTTAAAATATTTTATTACCACAGTCCGCGGCAGACATCCTATTAATACTTTAGATATATAATACTTATTAATAGTATATACTAATACTAAATAGTGGACTATCACTGAAATCTGGTATTGAAAGTGTGTCAGTGGCGTTGAATTTCATAAGTTGACTGATTGTATTTTCTTTATTATTTTATGGTCACCTATAAACGATAGAAAAATTGTCTTCCGATGTATTCAAATACCTAAAAGTAGAAAAAAAATGTTGCTTTACGAATTTTGAACTTAAGACCATTAGAATAAGAAGCAGTAAATATAACACCGTGCCATCATATGTTTAATGCCTGACGATTATTTTTATAAGAAAAAAGAAAGCCATAATATTTTTAGATAAAACCTACCTTTCTTACATTTTCCTGTTTTTTCGGCTTTTCACAGCTAAAGAGAAAATTCTTGAAGAATTCGAAAAACGACCTGTTTAAAGTACCTCCCCACACCGATTTCCTTTTAGAAAAGGTGCTACAAGTAAAATTGGAGTAAGTCCTCTGGTAAAAAAGTTGTCCACAAAAAGAATCAAAAACGCACGTGAGTGGGCCACTGTTATAGGTGAGAAGATGAGAAAATAATAGAGGGAAATTGAATGTATATCTGTACGCAACGATTAATCATTGTTAACGAAAAAACGATTCTGAGCGAAGTTCAGTTGATAGTGTTGCTTTGTCAATAATATGTACATGTAACATTATAGCAAAATAATTAAATATGCATTATATATTTTCTTTAATAATATTTGTTTAACACTGTACATATTTTCCTTTTTTCTATGTTTTTTCCAGGTTTTTCACATTTATTATTAAAACAGTTGCAAGAATAATCAAAAAATTATCCCCCCAGTAAGAGATTTCCTTGGAGCGAAATTGCCGATAAGGGAAGTTGTCCACAGAAAAAAAAAGCATTGTAAAACCAATACATTCCTCGCTTCTTCCAGAATCTAAAAGAGGTCATATCAGAAGGTTAAAGGACTAAAAAAATGAAAGATATAGTAGACACCTGATGTACAATGTTGAGGCAAATAATTTCAAATTACCGTCTTAGGATAAACAACCGCCATTGGTAAAAGTCCGAAATTGTTTACCAATTAATTTTACACAGCTTAATTTTTTTTTTTTTAAAGACCATGTATATTTTCTTAATCGCTATACTGTTACATACTGTTAAAAAAAATGTATGTTATGATTCTCAAGGCATGCATTTTAAAGTTGTCTGAAAGTTCATAATGATTAAATAAAAAGGTTGGAAAATGTGAACTGTAAAATAAAAATACTTAGCATTTAAACTATAATAGATAGATAGGTAGAAAATATAATATGCTTGTGACCTTTGTGTTATCAGCTTCAATAAAATAAATCGATAGTATTTTGTAAGAACATATGCCAAACAAATCTAAACATGAGTTGGTACCTACATCAACGTTTTTCGTCAATTTTTGATTTTCCATGCAGTTTTCATAATAGTTGTGAAAAACCAAAAAATAAAAACTGATCAATTTATATTTGAATTATATTAAATAAATTATATATATAATAAAAAATATATTAAATATTAATTTTATATTTCAAATTTTTAAGGTTCCAATAGAAAAACAACAAGAGACCATTCTTGTTACATTTTTAATGGCTACGACACGATTAATCATAAAACATATTTTTTACGACACGATTGAGCAAATTTGTCGGCGTAACTAAGGATATAAAAATACAAAAGAAAACCTACACGATTTTTTTTTTTTTTTTTTAACTGTCCAAAAGCTTTTATTATAACGATCAAAGATCTTTAACAATAGTACAATACCTTTCAAGGGTGTACATAAATACTTGTGATGTATCAATATACAAGAAAGAAACAAAATAAACCTATTGAGTTTCACTCCCAGTGGAGTAGCCCCGGTCTTAGTCTAACAATCATATATTAAGCCATATGGTCTTTGGCGTAAGTATCGTCTAATATCTTGAGAGTTGTCGAATAGTTAAATTGCTGCTGGATTGGTGTGTTGACCCAGATTTTTCTAATATTTGCGAGCAAACTCGTTCTGGGCGGAGGTAATCATCATATCCCGGTGTATAATGTCGTTTCTGTCATATCGGTATGTTGCGACAATGTTACGGAGAACGACGTTCTGGCAACATTGAATAATCTCAATATTGGACTTGCTGGCACAACCCTACAGTTGAATTCCATAATTCCATATTGGTTTATTTACACGATTGCGCATACAAAAAATCTGATGTTGTTATATTCAATTTTGAACTATATTATAAAAAAAAAAATATTTGTTTAAATAATAATTATAATAATTTAAAATATAGTATGAATTAAAAATACAATAAGATTTCAAAGTCAATAATAATCAAACTTTATAGATCTGTAAGTTAATAATAATAGCCTCTTTCCAATATAATAATATTAAAAATATACTTATAAAAAGGCGGACGTAGTTCGCACGTGGATGGGCTACTGTGGTAGGTGTGAATTGGGGAAGGTAGTAGAGGGGAAATTTCTTACTGAATGTAGATTTTTACGTGACGATTATAACCATTATATATATATATCATATTATGGTAAAATATTTAAAGCACTAAAGCACTAATCATTTATCAATATTATTACCACAGTTAATAAAATAATAATTTGTCAAACAAATAAAATATTTCAAAAAACTCATCAAAACTGTGATGACATTTTACAGAGTTACCAACTACATTTTTAATATTTTGTACGTTCAAGTTATTTACATACAAATTGGTGATATTTTTATTTCCTAAAAGCATATCATGTATAGGTGGTCTTTATTTTTCGCTTGTGATTTTTTTCAGGTTACCCCCCTTAAAAAGGTTCGATTACTAAAAATAAACGCTACAAAAAAAGTTTCAGGTAAATTCATTAATATTAACCCGTGCCACAACAGCTCTAAATTTACAAAAATAGAAAATTTTCAATATTATCAATTTTTTTAATTTTTTTTAATATAACTCCAGGAAAAAAAGTACTTACAAAAAATTTGTTAAAATATAAATGATAGAACACTACATTTTCTACAATTTTTTTTATATAATATTTTGCAAATATATTATTTTTTCAAACATTTTAATATTTAAGGCAACTTAAAATACAACTAATAATTATTTATTATTTAATTTACAATTATAATAACATTGTTACCTAATTATTTTATCTGTAATATATTTTAATTATAAATGATAATACCAAATTATTGTGATAGTGCAGTAAGTTTTTCTTTTTTGTGGTCAGGATATTTTTTGCGGTAATCACTAACAACTTGTAGAAGGTATTATTTTTGAGATTCGTTTTTGGTAATTTTTTCATTATAGTCCTCTATAAGTTTTACTCCTCTTTCTGCTATATCGTTTATTACTGGAATATTTTTTATAACTAACAAAGCTTTAGAATAGTCTCCATTATTTTCCCAATTAATTGGATCTTCATTCAAAAAAATGGTGTTGATGGAAAATCGTTTAAATAGTGTTTTAGTATTAACACATATAAAATCATCGATTTTCAATAACTCATTTGCATTTTTTGGCGATATAGTTAAACGTTGTGCATTTGAAATTAATTCTGATGAACTTTCGTCGTTGTTTAGAGCATGAACCATTTTTCTTTTTATCTCNAGGTGTGGGGCAAAATATTGATCGTTTAAGTAGATAATAATGTGGAAAAATATTTTGATAAAGGGGGGCGTGATCTATATAGGTCGAGTACGTAGTGCATGTAGGAAAAAAATGTAAAAAAAAAAAATCCTTGCTCCCTAGGTCCTTGTTCCCTAGCTCCTTGCTCTCCAGCACCTGCACCTGCACTTGGCACATGCACCGGCACTTACATGTGTACCTGGCGTAGAACCTGCTATTTTATACTACTGTGACGATTATTACCATTGCTAACGAAAAAATGATTCTAAGAGGAGTTCTTTTAATAGTGATACTTTGTCATCATTATATATTATATATATATAAATATCATATTATGGTAAAATAATTAAATAGGCAGTATATATTTTCTTCAATAATATTTGTTTAATAACGTACTTATTTTCCCATGTTTTATCCCGATTTTCCCCATTATGAAAACAGCTGGGTTAAATCAAAAAATTGCTTCCTTAAAGTATGCCTCCCCCAGTCAGGTTTTCTTTCGGAAAAATTGTTATTATTGTAAATTAGAGCACAAAGAAAAAAAAATAAATGTCATTGTAAAATCTATATATTCCTCGCTCCGCTTATTATAGGTACTTACAAGTAGGTGTAGTTGTTTTAGTTACTTAAAAAAACAATCTTTAGCACATCTTGCACTTTAAAGATGTAAAGACGGACATACTTCACACGTGGATGCAGCCATTGTTGTTTGCGAAAAGTTAGAAAGGTGATAGATGTGAAATTTAATGTATACCTATCTATAAGTAACTATTGCTAATGAAAAAACAATTCTGAGCGGAGTTCGGATGATAGTGTTGCTTTATCAATATTATATATGTCATATTATGGCAAAATAATTACATAGGCATTATATATATTCTTTAATAATTCATGTTAAATATTATACCTATTTTCCCGTTTTCCCGGTTTTTTCCATTTATTGTAAAAAATCTTGAGGAAACCGATAAATAACCTCTTTTAAGGAACCTTCCAAGTCAGATATCCTTTTAGAAAAAGTGCTATCATTGTGAATCGAAGCAGAATTGCTGATAAAAAACCGATTGGGACGGTAGACAGAAGTGAAAACTTCTACTTACTAATAGAATATTGATTATTGGTTTAAATTAAACTTAAAAATGGCAGACTTAATTGAATCGGTGTATGATAAATAAGCATAACTATCGAAATGAAAATTTCTCTTGGAGGTCTCTGAATTTCATGAGAGTAAACGGGTGAATCGAGTTAGCGACACTGTCAATTGTAATCCAGTATATCTGTATGCATACATTCTATATATACGCCGGTTAACCGGCACGCGCCGTAATCACGTCATCAGCTGGTAACACACTCGCACACACTAGTAACACCGCGGGTGAATACAATCAGAATGCCATTCTGAGAAACTTGTACTTTACAAGTTAGGTCGAACCCCTCTTTCAGAATATACCACTTTTATATCTATGAAAGCAATCCTCGATCTATTCTGGTAATTTAAAACGTTGACTTTGAATATGTTATCAAGGTCACTCCCCTGATTACGAAAATATATAGGTACATTACTTATGGGAATGAAGATAATAACGTGTCCTGAGCAAAATTAAGTCTGTCGGGATAAAATCCAAGAATTCGGATTTTCGAACCTATTGGAGATTAATGTTCCGTATAGTGCAAATTGAATGATGAAAATGTTATAATCATAATTTGTATTTATATTTCACCAAACAATATTCTACAAAATATTATAGAATTCTTACATTTCCATTTATTACCATATACATCATTAGGACCACGAATTCTTGGAAAAGAATATGAGATTTTAATATTGATTACGGAAAGGTCGTTATAGATTTTTTTTTTTTAAGAAAAAAAAAAAAAAAGAGCTACGTTTGACAATGAATAACAGTAGATCGGAAGCAACAACAAGAGAAGCTACATTTTTAAGATATATTAATAATATACGCATATACGAGTGTTTGCATCACATTATAGTTATCATAAGCCGATAATAATAATTATTAAAAATGATGAAAATAATTTTACTGTCGACGAAGTGTAACATGTAAAAATGAATCGAGAACTAATTTTATAAAAAATTAAGTATACTTATTTATCATACACCGATTCAATTAAGTCTGCCATTTTTAAGTTTAATTTAAACCAATAATCAATATTTATTCGTAGAAGTTTTCACTTCTGTCTAACTTCCCAAGACGGTAATCGGTTTTTTATTCATTTTTACATATTACACTTCCTCGAAGAAGTTTATGGTTTCACAACTGTTTTATATGTGAACAACTTTTCTACCAGAGATCTTGCTCTGATGTACACGATGTAGCAACTTTTCCATAAGAAAATTTTGTTAAGGACGAACTTTAGGGAAGTCATTTTTCGATTTTCCCAGAGAATGTGAAAAACCGAGAAAATCGGTACAATATTAAACAAATATTATTAAAGAAAATATGTAGGTAATGCCTATTTAATTATTTTACCATAATATGACATATATATATCACTATAAACGGAACTACGCTTGGAATCATTTTTAATGATGTTAATGAATAATGTTAAACTATCACAGAAAACAGATACTGTGATAGTTTTTTTTTTTTTTAATTAATCAGAGAAAACAGAATAATTGAATAATCATTAACTATGGTTGTAGAATGTAAATATACCATCGTGATAATAACTTATTTTGTGATAACGGTCAGCCGCTCAGCTACGTATTATGATGGCTAATGGAGGTATTTAGAGGCGACAGTTATTTGTAGTCTTCACTGCAAATCACACATGCTTATACATTTATTTTATGTATGTCTGTGTGTAGGGGTAAAAAATTAAAAATGATTTTAAAATAAAGCTTAAACAGTTCCATAATGATTAGAAAAAACAGAAATCAAATTCACTTAAAATCCTCTGAGATAATTACTGGTTTATGATAAAAAAAATTCCCTTGTATAAATCATGGACTAAGATACTAATAAAAATATTATTAAGTATTAAAACTCCAGTGCTCCACACAGTAAATTCTATAAATTTAAATATTGCCTATTCAATCAAATTACAAATACAAATTACTTACAGTAGTCACTAGTTTACAACCAGAATAACCACCAGGAATGTCAATTATTAATTTAAATAAATAATAATTTGGATGTAAAACCTTTGCTTTTTATTTGCGTGAATGCAGATTGGGAATGCGTACTAATTAAATACATTATTACTGGGTAAATATTCATAATCTCTGTAGGTGACAAACTATTATCACTTATCATATTTAACTATTTAATTGTCATTTTCGTTGATTGGCAATTGTATGATATACATTTATTAAAGTTTTCATTTCAATATTAAATTAAAACATAAATCTTATTCCGTTAATGTCTAATATATTACATTTTATTATTATTGGGACTTGGAAAAAAAAAATGGCTCTTGAAGAAACTGCCTGCTTAGAAGTATTGAGAGTTTTAGAAGAAGCTGAAATTAGAGCAGAAGGGAAGTAGCCTAGCCAATATTATAATGCCCAAAATATTATGGAAGGTTGGTTTGTGCAATAACAACAATTAGGTAGTGGATAGCTTAATTACTTTATATTTATCATAATTTATTATATTTTTAGAACTATCTGATCATAAGTTTCTACAAAAGTTTAGGCTTAGTAAGGTATTGGTACAAGAGTTAATAGAAGTATTAATATTGCACATGATTAAACTAAGCAGATCATCTTCAGCCCCAATTAAAATAAAATTTAAATCATATTTATTTATTTCTACGTTATCAATAAAATTAACTATTAGGTTAATTATGATTATATATGTTGTTAATTATTAATAGGTTTTAACAGCTTTGTGGTTTTTTGCTAGTAATTCGTATCAACTCGATATTGGTGACAAACTGATAATAGATCATCAGCATCAACTCAGTCATTTGTTAGTAGATGTATCGCTGAAGTATCAAATGCGTTGAATCAGCCTGATATAAAATGATATATTAGCTTCCCTGATAGTTTTGAAAAATTAAATGCAGTATGTAGAGGGTAAATAAAATAATTTTACTCATACCTGACTAAAATAGCATTAATGATTCATTTATATTAATATGGGAACTTAAAAATGAGATTTATGCACTCAAAATTAAACTAAAATGAAAAAAAAAAATAATCAAATATTAAATTAGAATTGTTAATTATTAAAAATGTTTTTATTAGCTATTTATTAAAACGCAGAGTTTTACATTTTAATCCAGACCAAGCTTCAAAAATTATACTGTCATATTGTATTCTTCATAATATCTGTATCAATGCAAATTTTCCAGTTCCCCAGAGAGAACCCCTACAGTTCATTCTTAAATTGCTGCATGTCCAAGAGTACATCAACTTATCATAAGATCATATTTTACTTGATAGAATTTTTTTTTTTTGCAAACATGATATTATAATTGAAATAAATAAAAATATTATTACAATAATTGACAACATTGAAGTCTAAAGCATTAATAGTATATTAATAATAATTAGTTTTAGAACTTAATAATCATTTAATAATCAGTCTCTTTCTAAAAGCAATAATTTTTGTTTTAATAATTAGCTTTCAATTAGTTCTTTCTGGACTAATATAAAATAATATTGCTCCTAATAAAAGATATATTTTAGATCATTTATAATATGCAATAAGTAAAATGTAAATGACAAATGAAACATTTGATTCAATACCACATTGTCGCCATTTGTATTATTAGTTACTAATCGTTAGGTTTAATATTATAGTGAATTTACCTATTGTCATAAATGAGCTATGTTACATAAGTTACAAGTTATATAACTAATATAACTAGTATTAACATTTAAATATTGTAAACAAACCACCATACAACATACCTACCAAAAATTACTGATGTTAAATAATATTCTTGACTAAGATAGATAATAAATCCATTCATTCTAATATTAACACACAATTTGTTCTACTGAATGCAAATTTGCTATGCTCTAAGTTTATAAATACTATTTTAATTATTCAAATAATAGAAAAGAGGTACAGAATCTGTAGGAACTATTCATAGATTTTAAAAATGCCTAAGATAGTATCCACAGTCTCTACAATATCATATTCTTGCTAGGTTTCCAAAAAAATTAATAACACTAACTAAAATGCGTATGGAAAACACGAAATACAGAGTATGAACCGGGCTGAATCAGGGGGGTGCCCTGTCCCCAGTACTTTTTAATCTTGCACTAGAAAAGGTAGTAAGGAAACTACAAGAAAATGAAGGTGGTCTACTAATTGGTCAGGACAAGACTCTTCGGGTATGCTGATGATTTGGATATTATAAGTGACTCGCTTGCAAACACAGCTAGAGTGCTAAAAGAAGCAGCGAAGAGAATAGATCTTGAAATAAATACTGAGAAGCCAAAGAGAATGGTATTTATTGAGAGTGGGGAGAACTCCAACGAGATGGAGGACAATAACCTATGAAAAAGTTAGCAATTTTAAATATCCAGAAGAAAAAAGTAAGAAAAAGAAGCACAAAAAATGAATGTTCCAAGGAAATAAGTGTTTAGATAAAAAAAGCACAAGAAACTTTCTACGCACTGAAAAAGTTCCTAACATCCAAAATGTCGTCTAGGAGAACAAAATTAAGACTGTATGTGGTTATTATAAGACCAACTCTCGTGTATGGCTGCAAAGTTTGGACCAGACAGAAAGAAACCTGAAGACTTTTGAGAAAACAGTATAGAGGAAATTATGTGAGCCCATCATCAATGAAACAATGCAGAGGAAGTCTGCTTTCTTTTTTGTGTTTGTTTTTAAATCATGTGTCTGAAAAATATATAACAGGTTAGGTACATAAAACTAAAGTACATAAATATGTATAAACAATAAAACTTATAATTAGTAAATAGGGTTTGGATTTGAAGGTAATTCTTGTATAAAAATGTGATTCACCTAATTTCTATGCTAATGGGTTAACATTGTTTTTGTTTGTTTTTTATATGTTGTATTAATTTAATATTGATCAAAGCCATTTTATTTATATTTACTGTATAAATTGATAGTAATCAAAGCTAAGATTTATATGCAACAGCATGGTTTTTTGTGACTTTCGATTATTTCACGATTCACCTCATGATGAGATAAATGGTGGTGTTTTTATTTTATATGTTTTCGCACATTTTGGATAAAATGCATATTATTGCATATATTGAATAAAATGAATATTATTACATATTTCAATTATACGAATGCGAAAAATGCATGTTTTACTATATATTTCGTATTTAATTCTAGCCCTGCTGATTAAAGTATAAAACTTGATTTTTTTGTCAAACATACATTTTATTTTTATAAATACAATCCTATGGTACAATAGATATGCGATAAAAGATTGAATAGTTTGCTGGAGAAAGACTTCATGAAAGTCTATAGACTATAACAAATGCTAGGAATCGACTTCTTGAGTGTAAAGGAAGAGTCACAGATAAAGTTAAAAACAAAATATCTTTGGTTTTACAAAAAACTAAAAGATTTAAAACTCTACAATAAATAAATTGCTAATTAGACAAGGACAATTTCAGTTATAATTTAATACTAGGACAAATTTCTTTATTTAAAAATGCACCAAATGTGACATTGAATGGAGCTTCAGTCAATATATTCAATACTACGATCCAATTGCTAATCATTTATATTCGAAAATTTAAAAAAATATGTTGTAGAATGTAACATACGTATTTCCACTATTGAATGTGAATTATAATTTTTTTTTTTTTTTCTAAATTTCCTAGACATTTTTTTTTTAAATGATAAAAGAATCATTATAAATATAAATCAATAGAAGTATTTATACACACAATGTAATATATATATATATATATACACAAAACTTGTGTGATGTTTTACTTCCAGTGAAGCAGCCCCATTCTTAATTTAATAATTAGACTAAGTCAAATGGTTTCAATCGATTGAGTTGTCGAGGAGTTGTATGGCAGCCTTATTTGTGTGAAGCTCCAGTCTTCTTGCATGTTTGAGAGCAAACCGGGTAATTTCATCCTGCACACAAGACATTTTCAAATCGTGATAGATGATGTTGTTCTTATCATACCGATATGGACTACTGGCACAACCCGACAGTTGAAACCATAAATCCAAATTGGTTTAACAATCATTAAGCTGGTTAAGTCTAGCTCGGAGTAGCATCCTGTGCTGAATTATTTTACGGAATTATCTGCTGATTTAGCGTGACTGGGATGCGTGTGGTTTTACGTAAGGTGTAGTTAATGTGCACTGACTTATCTCCATATATTTTTATTTTTCATCGTTTCATCCAGTTGTAAACGGTGTTGATTGTAGTCTGTAGGATCTCAGTCGCAGCTTGTTGGTCCTTCCTTATTGATAGTTGAAATATCAGCTGTAATATTAATGTATTTCTATAAATATTTTTGTTTATCTTATAAAATTTAAATGCCTATTTTACAATTTTTTATTGCATACAAATTTTGGCCACAATAATAATCATTAATTGTTAAAATACAATTACAATAATTTGCGTTATTTTTCTGTCTGTCACCATTTTAGGACAGTAAAAATGTTTAGATTTTCTACTTAAGCATATTTTCTGAAAAAAAAAAAAAAATGAATCTAGTTTTGCATTCAAGAGGTCAATATTGAATATCTCTGTATTTTAACACTTGCTATATTTATTATTTAAATTGATTTCAAATTCAAACACTAATAATAAGAAATTAAAATTATATTTTTTTTCTATTATAAATAGGTATTTAGTATTTTACCTTTCTCCACTTGTTCCACGTTTACTCGGTCAAAACTCATCATTCAACTTATTAGCAATGTTTTCCCATAGCTTTTGACGCTGTTTTACTGTAGATTTTATAGTATTTTTCCTTTAAACAAGTTCGGGATGAATCACTGTAACATCTATCAACATATTTTGTCTGTTTGTAAAATTATATTTTTTACATTTTTTAAAATTCATTTCACTAGAAAGTATAGGAAATATATTAATAAATTAATTATAGGTAATACCTACTGTAGGAGCAATTTACAACTTCAAAACTTTACTATTTCATTGTGATAAAATGACAAATGCAAAAAAAATATAAAGAAGGAAATGTCATATGACAAATAGAAAACAAAAGAACTTAACTGAGTAAGTACCTACCATGGATTCATATACCTTTTAAGGTAGATCCTATATCGTGATAATACCTACGCACTAAAGCACTAATCAATATTATTACCACAGTTAATAAAATAATAATTTGTCAAACAAATAAAATATTTAAAGAAAAATCATCAAAACTGCTAAGACATTTTACAGAGTGACCAACTACATTTTTAATATTTTGTACGTTCAAGTTATTTACATACCAATTGGTGGTATTTTTATTTCCTAAAAGCATATCATGTATATAGTCACAATAAAGGTATATGTAGGTAAATAATCATTAATTTGAATGCAATTTAAATGGTTTTTTTTAAAATATTAATACATAATAAATAATAATTATAAAGCACTAATTATGTTTAACTAGTTTAATTCATATTAGATAAATGTAAAATTAGTAAAATGAACTGTTGATTATACTTGATCAAGTTTACAACCGCTGTGTACAATTTTGTTAATTAGACCACTTGGCAATCTCAAATTATATAAACGTTCTCCAGTGATAAACCCTCATGGTCTATCCATTCTTAAATCATATATTATTGTATCATATATGATATATATGAATATATGAATATACGAGATATTTAATTCGTATTCATTAATTTATATAATTATTTCTAATTTTAACAATTAATTATAGGCGTTTGTGCATAATCAACAACAGACGACAATTATCACCGAAATGTTTTCAAAGAATGCAAGCGTATCGTCATGTGACATTGAGTACAATTTGGTAGTTGCACTTCCCAGGCTCACAAAAGATGAAATCCAATCTTGGAAAAAGAAGTGAGTACGCCATTATAAATAACTAATAAACTTTACCTAGGTAAATAATTAGTAACGAGTGTACTTAATATAAATTAATATATACAAGATAAATATAAGGTATCCCACGAAGATATCGACGCTCAAAGGCCATGTGTCGTAATCCACAAAAACTTAATTTTTCAACAGACACTTTAAACGTGTTATTTACCTATATAGTTTTTGATTGTATTAATTAGTGTTTGTTTATTCTGTAATACTTGGAGAATCAGTTATCTTAAGAATTGAAAGTTTGTAATAGGTATTTACATCGTTAATTTAGTCTTATTTATGACCTAGTCGAGGGTTACAACATTTGGCCACATAATAGTTATAATTATTAATATTCGTGATAATAATAATAACATTGACTGTATTAAAGTAACTACATTTGACAGCGTATTTCACAATTTTATTACCAAACCATCTTTTTTTTTTATGTTCAGTTCTTAATTTTTCTTAATTTAGATGTAACATGCGATATGCAAAACATATTATTGTTTCATAGAAAATGTTTACAATACCTAAAACTTATAGATTAACATCGTAATGGTTATAATAAAGAGCAGAAATTAAAAAAGGGTTGTTGTACTGTGATATTATCGACAATATTTCGTTCTTTTTGAACAAATCTAAGAATATTTAGGAAATAACTGTTACATTTTTGCAATTGTATCATACTTACATGCCTGTTGACTCTGTGCATGTTACCATAGTAACAAATTTAAAAAATAAAATTGTGTAGGCACTTTCAGAATAGACGAAATTATGGTAAATGCAAGAGTGAATCAAAAACCATATGATGTATATAAAATTATTCTGAAAGACTTTATGGATTTTTAAACTATTACAGCATGAAATCCTTCCAAAAATAGTTTAAAAAAAGGAATGTTCTATCATGCTCTCCCATGCTCTGTCAAAAAAATGCATTAGCAGAGGAGGACAATGATAACAACCTGATTTAATAGTTTTATAATATTTTTTTCAAAACAAAAACAAGCTGGTTTAATTTTCCCTTTTTTTTTTTTTATCAACAAGTATATTGGTGTACCTACTTCAACAAATTTGGAATGTTTGATTTATATTTCAGCTTTCAGCATATGGGTTACAGCAAAGTGGCATAATGAAAAAAGTCTAATGACTTAAGTTGTCAAATGATAATATTTGTATGTGACTTACAGCATTTTTCACTGTTATTACATTGGGTTACAGTGTTAAAATAAATAAGCGAATAAATGAGTAGCTTCGAGTATGATGATAAATGTATTATATGCGTTTCAAATTCTAAATTTATCAACAGGTTTGTCACAGTCCAAATGTAAAATGAATTGAATATCAAAAACTAAACGAAGGAATACATAGAAAAAAAATTATAGAAATAGGTCATTTTACACAGAAATAATTTATTTTAATAGGACAGATTATTTAAAATGGTTTATTAATAGGCATAGATATGTGAAAAATTAAACATTTTTTATTATTTGTAATTATTAACTAAAATGTATTGATATAAGATATTATTTTTAAAATCGGTTTGAACATTAAAAATATTATTAAAAAATTGTTTTATTTCATTGTGTGTAATTCTGCTAAAACTGAATTAATATAAATATTATTTTAAGTATTTAATATCTCTGAGTCTGTATTTATATCAAAATGTATATAATGGTAGTTTTCTAAAACACGTTTAGCGAAATTTGAATTCGGTGCAGCCTTTTTTAATTTTTTTTCAGAAAGCTGTTCTTTATATCTTATGTTAAAATTTATTACATTTACATTTAGGTTTATATATACTGGTATTTTCAAGAGAAAGAGAATTTTTTGTGAAATTTTTAGTTTTATTATTTTCATGTTTAGTTAAATTATTATTAGTCTTAAAAGTGATTTTTAAATTATTTGAATTATTGTTCAGAATTTCAGTAAATTCGTTAGACATATTATTTTGATATTTTATACTACAATAGTTAACAACATTATTTTTGAGTCGTGTATTATTTTCAAATTGAAATTTTTTCTATGGGCTATAATTATTACAGATAATATTGAGATCCTGTTGATAATTATGTTTATTTAATGGAATATGTTCAAGACTATAAAATATTGAATTAAAAAATGATATTTTTTGAGAATAAGGGTGATTAGAATCCTGTGGTATTATAGAATCAGTTTGTGTAGGTTTCCTGTAAATATTAAAATCAAATTTATTGGTTATTATGGAAACTGTAATATCTAAGAAATTTAATTAATTGTTCATTTTTTGTGTCAGTTGAATGTTTTTATTTAGTTTGTTTAAGTAGTTTACTAAATTTTTTACTTGTCTATTTGAACCTCTAAATAAAATGAACCTGCCTTCAACATATCACAAAAATATATTTTAGTTAATTATCATTTTTGTGAATATAATTTATTATTATATTGGGAATTGTTTTGATAAATAATGACATTCATTGGTTGAATAAATTCTTGTACTTTGTATTAAATTTATTACACTGTATAATTTAATTGTTTAAAAAATGTACTGTTTCATAGAATGGATGTATATACATTTTTAATATCAAGAGAAATTGTTTTTATAATGTGACTATATATTTATTTTATTAATGTTATCACTAATTTCGTAAGTTTTTTTTTTATAGAAGTATCAGTATTCATATTTAATTTTTCTTTTATAAGAAAGTCTAAATATTTAGCAAGGGTATAAGCCGAAGCAGTTTGAAAGTCACTTATGAACGAATTAGATTATCATGTTTATGTTATGTTTATTATTTTATGAATGGATGTAAGTGGAACCTCTATTTTGTAATCAGATTTTAATAATATTTTTTCTTTTGAAATTTAGGTATAATTTTTTTTCGAATTTGTTATCAGTTTATTAATTTGTTTGGTGTAAAATATAGTTGGTTTATGTGTTAAGTTTTGAATTTTATTATTATTTATAAAATCTAAAGTTTTTTTTCTTGAATTTCATATGACCCAACTTATGATTTTATTGATATTTATAATAAAATTATTATTGAGATTCATATTGATTTCTCTTGACATAAAAATGTGCATACATCCATTCCTAAACACAAAACAGTAAATTTTTACATAGTAATAAATTTAATTCAAACAAAGTACAAGAAATCATTCATTTAATAAATGCAATTATTAATCAAAACAATTTCCAATATAATAATAAATTATATTGGCAAAAAGATGGGTTAGTTATGGGTGTTCCTTTAAGTGATTTTTTATCTGAAATTTACATGTAAAATCATGAAACCAATAACATTATTAACAACAAAATAAACAGTCCATATATAAAAATATATTATAGATATGTCCATGACACATACATTTTATTAAGAGGTTTAAAAAGACAAGCAGAAAATTTAGTTACCTACGTAAACAAAATAAATAAAAACATTCAATTTACACTTGAAATACAAATGAATAATAAATTAAATTTCTTAGATCTTACAGTTTCCATAATAAACAATAAATTGTTACCATTATTCTCAAAAAATATCATTTTTTTAATTCAATCTTATATAGGCTTGAAAGAATTCCATTAAATAAACAAAATTATCAACACAAGCTCAATATTCTATATATTATAGCACATAAAAATAATTTCAATTTAAAATATATTAAAAGATTCATCAATTTATTAAAGTAAAAATAATATACAACTCACCAAATAATGTTGTTAACTATTATAGTATGAAATATCAAAATAATATGCCTAACAAATTCGCTAATATTCTGAACAATAGAAACGAAGCCTTCACAAAAATCCCCCTTCTTTTGAAAATACTAGTATATGTAAACTTAAATGTAACTGTAATAAACTGCTGTATATAAGTAAGACAAATAGAAATTTTAAAATACAATATAAAGAACAAATTTTTGAAATAAAGTTAAAAAGACTCTCCCTAATTCAACATGTGTTAGAAAACAATCATAATATAAGTTTTGATATTAATATAGACTTAGAAATATAAAATACCCAATATAACATTAGCTTGAAATGATAATACAGGGAAAACTCTTGAAAAAATCGAAAAATTGCTATCATTAAAAAACTGAACTGAGATTATTTAAAATTTTGTCCATATCCATTTTGTTGGATAGCTTGTAAATACTTTGTATCTAAATTTGATATTATCATCTTTTTATTTTCACTAAATTCGTGATTTTTAAAAAAATTTAATGTTCAGAGAAAATAATTGTACAGTAAATTAATTGTAAGTCATAATAGTAATTAACTGAAGAATGGGATAAAAACTTGCTGCATAATTATAGGTACTTTTCTCTGAACGTAAAAAATTATTAAAAATCTTGAATTTAATGAAAATAAAAAGTTGATAATTCAAATTTAGATACAAAAATATTTACAAGCTATCCAACAAAATGTTTAGTTATCAATATTTAATATAGAATATTTTTCTAGACATTTTGATCTGTATAACACTTGTATCAGATTTGCCAGTTATGATTAGTCACTTCTCAAGTTATTCACTTACCCATTACACCTATCCTTAGACAAACTTTTTTTATTGCTGTCTACCAAGTAAAGTCTCAACAACCTAGACCAACTCTGTTAGTGATTAGTAATGATATAATTAATTTATAATATTTACATTTTGTATTATGCTACAATTATTTTATTTAACCTTTTTTCTCTTTTCTCACCATTATACATACTATTTTCAACATCATGTCTGTTAATTTGTAGAATTAAACAACTTTTAGTAACAATATTGCCATGACCTTTGATTGAGCAACAAAAATGTAAGTTTGTCAATATTATTTTATTCTAAAATTTAAAATACTTTATATAAATTAATGTGTAGTTTAAAAATATGTACAATTAACTTACAAAATCTACGATACTTGAAGAATTTAGGTAAGTAGGGACCAAAATTAAATATTTTTCTTTTTAATCTATAACAATGCTTTCCTTGTACATATTTTGTTTCATATAAAAGATTAGTTATAAAAGTGAGACATATAATTGCATTTTCTATTATTATTAGTTGTTTAGCATTTTTCTTTAATTTGGTTAGTTTTAAGTATATACATATTTTTAAATTTTACAAAAATTAGTTTAAATTTAAGTAATTCAAAATATTATTATTTCAACAAGTTTTGTTTTAATGAAATTTGTTTTAATAATAATAAACTTTATTGCAACAATACAATATTGCACCACCTCTTAAAAACAGAGTTTGTGCTGAGGAAGATAGCTCTCATCAGTTAATAATACATAAACCTAAACATAATGTTAGACATTATTATTATTATTTTTTTTACTTATGTAATTTTAAATCCTATAACTTTATTAACATTAATAAATATTTAATAATATAATTTATTGTGACACAGCCTATATATAAGGTTATTGAGAGTTTCTCCCTGTAATGGATATATCTTAAGAGAAAATAGATTGCATGAAAGCTAAATATATAACTATTTATAATACACATCAAATATTTACCTTACCTGGCTTCATTAAATATTAAGAAACATTTCCTTAAAACACTTTATTGATATAATTGAAATTACTATACCATTTTATTCATTAATCTATAATTAGTTTACTATTTTAATTCATTAAGAGGATGTTATCTCAGTTTGACTACCAAGTAACATACAAAAACAATACTTACACATAATAAGTGTAAAACTATCTTAATTTTGATTTTAGAGTAAAAGTACCTATTATGAAATTTATAAAGAACAATATTTTCGGATTTCGAGTCACATTTAGTACTTAAGTTAAGATTGCATATTAGTGAATGGACTATTGAATTTATTTCTATGTAAATCATTAGCAGCCAGTAAATTAAAGCATATATATTTTGATTTTAGCAAATTTAATTTTAATTCTTACAGAAAAATACACATTCATTAAAATCATATTTGACTCATAGTACATGTTGTCAGTTGTACATTCAGATAATAAAATAGCAGTATCATCAACAAAACCTAGTACTTATGTTTTTTAGCAGCCTATTGAAGTGTCCTTGTTTTTGCATAACTTTTAACAGATACAATTTTGTAATGAGTGTCATTGGTGTTTTCACCTTGGTCTCTGAATAATATTTGTTTCTTCTCCTTTATATTCTTTTTATTCTTCATTTTCACCTTCAATTTTGTGCTTCATTGATTTTTTTATCTTCATTGTTTTCATAATCTTCTAGAGGATGGTAAGCTTTCAATTTGGATACATGTATTACAAATGAATAGTTCAGGTTACCCTTGCTTTACTGTACATTCATAAAACTTTCCATATTTAAAAACTATTAAATATTAATATTTATTTGATATTATGTTACAGAAGTAATTCTCAAAATACTGAAGTGCCTTGTATTAAGATTGAACCACAGGAGCTGGATCAAGATGATGAAGAGACCGTGGAAATTATGACTTACAGTTGTATTGTTTGTAAGAAGAACTACAACAATTGGGAGAAACTTGTTCTTCATAAATATTTTAAACACAAAAACTACTTACCTTATAAATGTGTTATTTGCAATGAAGCCTTTAAATTGCATGGTTTTCTAAACCAGCATTTACTAAAACATGTAGATTATAAACAAACTATGCAACCTGTATCTGTTCAAACTTCATCTAGTAATAGTTTTAATAAAGTTCCTACAACAAATAAACAATTTCAATGCACTAACTGCATCTACAAAACTAAAACTGCAGAAAAACTATCCCATCATTTAAGGGTTTGTAAAGGTCCAATGGAAAACATGACTGATACTGATTCAAAGAAATGCAATGTTTTCTTGAAAAACTTTTCATCTAAAGGTCAATTAAACAAACATTTAAGTTATCACAATTCCATCTCAAATTTAAATGTTCAAATTTCTCATAGAAATGTTGTTGATAACCCACAGCCAGTTAATTTCTCAAGCAATCAAGAAACATTAAATTCATTGAGAATTGATTTGCCAAATACTATAAGTACCCCCCAAAACAGATTTTCAGAATTTAAATGTTTATATTGCAAAATTTCTTGTAAATCTAAACGCACAAGGATTAATCATATTAAATCCCATCACCCCATTCAAGCACTAGGTGAAAATTATTTAACAAAGTTGCCCACAACATCATGTCAATGGTGTGACATGATAATTACAAAACCTAATTTGATACGCCATATCAAATTAAAACATCCCCATGTTAAACCATATAACTGTCCTTTTTGTGACATGAAATTTAAATTTTTGAGTGGAAAGAAAGTTCATATTTTGAAATGCCATGCAACAAATTAAAAATAATGTTTATATTCAAGATTACAAAACATTAATTATTTGAACTCATTTTCTTTTAAAAAGACTTAGGTTATTAAGTTGCAGTTTCCAATAATAATTATTAAAATTAAAAAATGTGTATAATAATGTATTGGGATTTAACCATATTAGCAGCCAAAAACATGATTTAATGGAGCGCGTGTATGCATTAAAATCATGGCTTTGAAATTTTCTAGTTTCTATTCTCAAAATTGTTTATGTATGGCCAGGCTCTTATAAACTCACATTTATATGTACATAACATAATGTTAAGATGACTAACTGCCTGTTACATCAATAATTGCATTATTCAAATATTTGTACAAACAATGTATATTTATTCATTTTTTATTTATCCTAATTGTTCAATTTTACTCTCTATTTTTATTTGTAATTTTCATTAGAATAAATCATTTTACTATTTATTAGGTGAATAACCTGATTAGATTAATTATTGATAGTTTTTATATGTACATGCTGAATGGCATTAAATAATTTTAAAGATTGCTTTCAGTAATAATATATGTGTGTAATTTAAGTGTGTCAACTTTTGTATAACTCTATAAATATAATTGTATTTTTGTTTAGTTATTAGGTAATTTTTTCATTCTTATTGTACAAAATGAACAAATAATTGAAATTAAGTATTCACTGTAAATATCAACACTAAAATATAAATATTGATATATTGAAAACATTATGTATTTTATACTTGTATATAATTGAGTCTTACAAATTTAATTGTTAATTTAATAACATGTGCAATAATATTATAATTTATACGTATCCATATAATTGTGATTCTTGTCATAATTGGATACATTAATCTGTTTTATTGAAAATATTTGTCAACAGTTAAAAAAAAGTTAAGTTCAGTTAAATTCATAAGTTAAGTGTTTACTTATAAAATAAAGTACCACTCTAGTCAAATTTCCTTTCAGAAAANCTAGTATCTAAAAGCTGCCATAGGATGTACCTATTTTCCCGTTTTTTCCGATTTATTAAGAAAATTGGAAAAATTAAAAAATGATCTGCATAAAATTCAGACAAAAGTACCTAAATAGGTAGTTATTATCTTTGGGCAGTTACATTAATAATATAGAACATAACATGTTTAAATGTCAGCATACTAACAAAAAAATGTATAATCAATATAATATTTATTATATTAAAAAATATTTTAAATGATTATTAAACATTTATTTTTTTTGTAGAAAACAGTATTTGCCAATGAAGAAGAACAACCTGATAAATTGAAGTAACTTCTTCAGAAGTAATATCTCATACAGATATTGAAATTAAGTCACAGATGGACTTAAGTTAAATCTATCAAACACAATGAAGTTTTAAATTTCAATCTATGTAAAGAGTCCATTAGTTGGATCCATAACTAATAAATCAGAAAATGCCCTTTTAAAGATTGAAGTTGAGTGACTATTCTAAAATAAATAGTCTAAAAAACAACTATTCCCATTTGCAGTCATAGCATAGGACAATGATATACAATAACTTACTATACTGTCTAATACGACTGTGATTTATTATTATTTTATATTTTGTAAAAATGTTTCCATAAATTATTTTTAGGTGTGAAACATTGAAAGAATTGTAGAACAGATTAAATTTGTATGACCTTTAGGAAATTACATGATAAATTTTGTTTTTCATATTTAGGAGTTAGATTTGGATGTATACAGCAATACCAAGTAATATGGAACTGCAAAAATTAAACTATATCAATTATAAACATCGAAATACATTTAAAGGTCTTATAGGAATTGCACCAAATGGGGTTTTGATTTTGTGTAGTTTGCTATACCTTGGGCCATCTGTTAAAGAAATAGTTAAACATTTAGTTGTTATAGATGTATTTAATAGTGGTGACCTTAATTATCTGATAAAGAGATTCTTATAAGTGACTTATTATCTGAAGAAATGCCATTAAATTTACCTTCATTTTTGGATACACCTCAATTTACATCAAATCAAGTTATGAATATATTTGTATGCCATATTAGTATACATTTTTTTTCCTTTTATTTGTCTCTAAATTGTGTACACTATATTTATTTATATTAGTTTTCACTTTTAAATTATAAATGTTTATGTATGAAAAATTAATGTGTTTAGAAATAGAACATTCTGGGTCTCCACATAAGCTATCTCAGTGAGCCCAAGTATCTGTAAAATAATTTTAAATATAAATAAAAAAATTAAAAAAGACGTCTTAGGATAATAAGGTCAGGTGTAGCCACTGGTATAGGTAGTTTAATGTATATCTGTACACAACGATAAAACATTGCTAAAGATAAAAACGGTTCTAGATGGAGTTCAGTTGATATTGATGCTTTGTCAACAATATATATGTCATATTATGGTTAATTAGCTAAATAGGCATTACATATTTTTTTTTAGTAATATTTGTTTAATATTCTACGTTAGTATCATTGTTAGTAGTACTTAATGGGAGAGGGAAATTAATTGAGCTTGAACGTTGAAAATATTAAATACTGTAATTTGTGTTCAATTCATTTTTCACTAATATTATTATGTTTATGTATAATTTCGTCGCTTCTATGAATTTGCTCATGGTATATAATGTTATTTCGTGGATATTTTTAAAATAATAGGTGGTACGAATATTTCGATACGAGTAAAATGTTTATGAAATAAAATATATAGCAGTTTAATACGACTCGTGGACGATCGATCGCGTTCCATAGCTCCCTGAGTTTGTCACTATAATAATATTAATAGATTTATGTGGCAACTTAGTAATTGAGTTTGTCAGTTGATTGTCATATACAATATATTGTATATACTTTTCAACTTTGGATAGGAGGTACGCGCGGATATCGGGCTATATAGTCAGGGTAAACTGAACCAGACATTTCCATTAGACTCTGCGACGGCGAGGCCACCGAATATGAAAAAAAAAAAGTATAATAATGTAATCATGTAAATGCGTGTGGCCTACAATGTTGTACAATATTGAAAAACTATAATACAGTAATAATATTATTATCTATTATTTGTCATAGTATTGTGTATTAGACACTATAGATCGCAGGAATAATACTAACCCTAGGCGCGTTATTAGTAAATTAATATACTCGTATAGGTAACTTAATATTAGACTATTAGTCTTAGAATGCAATATAGGCATATAATATAAGCATATATGTATAGCATCTTTAACGGATTATATAACACAGTAATATGATATGTATGTATACATATACATAAATTAATTTAGATTATTATTATTATATCTATTTTAGATTCTGATCGGAGCGAGGAATGTATTAAGTTCACAATGATATTTGTTTTTATTGTTTCATTTATTTTATCAGTGAACAACTTTTCTATACCAGAAATCTTGTTCTGATTTTAAAATGTAGCACTTTTTCAGAAAGAAAATCTGACTAGGGTGGTAATTTTTTGATTTTCCTAGGTGTTTTTCCAATAAATTGGAAAAACGGGAAAAATTACGAAATGTATGATTTTCAAATCGTAAATATTACAGCCTTTCAAAAAACATTACTCCATTCAGAATCGTTATACGTTAATAATGATTAATCATTGCATACGAAGTATTTTCGTTTAATATACTGATACGGGCAAAGCAAAACGAGAATAATGGTAAAAAATCAAAAAAATTGGCATGGGCAACGTCTAGTGCGAGACAACTAGGCAGTGAAAACAATTTTAAAACATCAAAGTGCTTTAGTTTTAATTTTATGATTTTGCAAGCTTTAATGTGGTTTGCCCAATTAGTTTATTTAATGTTCCTTTTAATTTTCTGAATAAATCATAGAAATACATTTTTAAATTTAAACAATTCAATTGAAATTGATATTTATAATTATTTTTAGAATAATAAAAAGTAAAAAACACTTTTAATAACACTCAAATTCAACCATAAATCATAATTTGTACTATTTAAATTTTAAATAAGTCAACATAATATTTTAGGGTCAAGGAAGTATGAAACCGACCGAGCATCGTGACAATGCTGCACAATGATGTACTTAAGAAAAATCATATTCAAAACCTAAATTACATTGTATGATGATTAAACATCACTAATATTCATAAATAAAGCTAAGTTTTAATTTTTTTTTTTATCCGTTGTAACTATTTAACCAATTGTTTCCGATTTATTGTGATGCCATTTATGTTATAACTTCCAAAGTAAGTAGATTAAACAAATATTTGATTTGACCATCGTTTTTATTATAAAAAAAAAAAATATGACAGTTAATAAAAACAAGTTTTGTATAAGTACAATTTTAAATATTTTATTTTGGAAATTGCGAATTTTTGAAAAGTCCATTTTTTTTCAAGCTTTTTCGCATAATATACCAAATTAAGTTGGAGCGACATTTTTTTTTATAATTTTTTCTATATCAGTGACTAAAAACACATAATATGAAATTAAAAAAAATTGAAAAATTCGCATATATTTGTTTCAAAAATAATTTGGTAAAATTGTTGATATTATTTTTTCGTAGATGTATAGGTTTATAATACCATTCAATTAATTCCAAATAATATTTTAGATATTAGCAAATATTTTTAGTTTTAATATACTTGGTATAAGTACGACTATTAAATTCTATACAATTTTAAGCTGATCGTGCATGATTTAGAATATAAAATATATTTAACTATACATATTATATGATATAAACATATATTTCAATCTATGATAATGCTAAAATTTGTAAAATGGTATAGATCAGGGATAGGATTTATATTGAATAACTAACAAAAAACCTATATTTTTAATGTCATAAACTCAGGTGCGCACCCAGGATTTTTGTTTGGGAAGCTTAAAAATTGTTTTAACGAATATCGAAGCACCTAACCAGTTTAATTTTACACAGTCGATGGTCAAAATTATTATTGTTATGGTAGTTATCAATCAAAGACGATGGGTGACCATCCGACGTAATCACTAATATTAATCTAAAAAGACGTCCTTGAATAACGGGAACGGGTGCAGCCGCTGTTATAGATAATTTAATGTATACCTATAAGCAACGATATAAACCATTGCTTAAGAAAAAACGATTCTGAGTGGAGTTCAGTTGAAAGTGATACTTTATCAACAATATATATGTCATATTATAGTAAAATAATTAAATAAGCTTTATATATTTTCTTTAATAATATTTGTTTAATGTTGTACCGATTTTACCGGTTTTCCCAGTTTTCACATTTGTTAAGAAACCTCCAGGGAAAATGGAAAATTACCTCTCTAGTGAAATTTTCTTTCATAAATATTTTTATCATTAAAAGTTGGAGCAAGTCCTCTGGTAGAAAATTTGTCCACAAAAAAAAAAAAATTTCCAACGAAATAATTGATTGCCATAAAACTTATCTCGTACTATTGACCGGCTAACGTGTATCAAAGATAAATAAATGATAAATGATAATTAAATAAAAAAAAAAACATATTTTATTATTAAAACAATAATAATAATATTATATAATATAAAACAATTTTTGGGGAGAGCTTTAGCAACAAGGCCCCCCCTGGTTACACCACTGCATAAGTTTATGCATCAGTTGATGACAAAATAATAAATACTATTACAACGATAATGTGTAAAACAAAATTACGTTATGGCATAAAAATAATGCACTGTCATGTGTGGTGAACAAGACAATATAGACCCACTAATCGTTATATTTAATTATCTACTAAACATGTTTATCTAACTGAACTTTGTACTAATTTCAATTCCATTAGAATTTATTTCTTTATTCCTTAAACAATCATCGCTTGCTTTTTGTTCATCATCGATTTATGCTATATTTTATACTATTCAATTTATGCTACTGTTTGTCATTAAGAAATGGTTAGATGATATTCGACTATACGATTAAGTTATGTTGTAAATAATTGTTATTCTCTGATAATTGCTGTAGCTGTATACACATATGTTGTATTTATAAATATTTATATTATTGAGAAAACATTATTTGTATATTTTTAAATTTAATACTCGTCTATCTTTTGAAGCAGTGGTTTTCAAACTTTTTTTGAGCACAACACACTTTGCTTTTTACAACAGTTTCACGGCACACTGTGATTTATTTTGTCATTGTTTAATTGCATTCAATTGTTTGCACGAAATTAAAACTAAGAATAAAAACTCATACCCAAACGAGACATAATCAAAAAAAAAAAAATACGATTTCATACTTAACTTGCGGATCTCCGTAGTCAGTGGTCTGTCATAATTTATAGAAATAATCTCAAAAACACCTATAGTGAATACACAAATATAGGGAATGAGTCTAAAACAAACATATTTACCTTCAATGTAAGGGACATCCTAGTATAGGTTTTTAAATAAAGCCTATAATATTATTAACACGTACGTACTGTTCAATTTATAAAAATAATTTTATTTAGCCCACATAGCTGAGAAGAGTGTTTTCAAGCAATTTAACAAGCATCACGTTTTTATAAAATTTTAAATACTTATAATTTCAAGTAGCATCTGTAGGTGTATATTATATTATATTAGGTATATATAATATTATGGTTCGACGATATATTTTAAATTCTTTATACGCGTTTCAAGTTTTGTCATCGTGCATATTTTCTAAAGGATCTAAAAAATTCGTCGTTTGTCCGACTGTAATAATACACAAAATAATAATAATAATACAAGTTTGGCATACATAGGTATCTACCTAACATTATTTATAAAGTTCGGTTGTAGTGAATACAAACGTATATATTATGTAGTTATACCTATAAAACTAGTTAACAAGTTGGATAAAGTTTTCATCAATTTTTAATACAATAAGTTTTTAAAATATGTATATTATTATGCAGTTTTCCAACTAAAGGCTTGTGAAGTCCACGGAATAAAATGAATACGTGTGATCCTTTATAATATATATTTATACTTAGATATGGGTATCTATCATCTATTGACATGATATATTACACGTGGATGCTTTTTCCCGTTTCTGCTCCGTCGATCACATCAAAGAAAAATAAACATAGCTATAATAACTGCAGGTACGGTTTTTATTTGATATTATGTCTGCAACTAATAAATTATACACTACTCGTCGCGTGAAAAATATCTCTTGGGAAAAATACGATTTAATTCCAATTAAAATGGAAATTTCCAATGGAAAAATAGTAATTTTGAACGGAAAAATCAAATAAATCAGATAAGTTTGAAAAAATATGATAGGTTCAATACATGATGTAGTTAAAATATACTGCTTGATTCAACGGAACGAACTGTGCACTATTATTTTTAATATTGGCCTATATATGATCGAACTTGTGGTGGATTTAAGGAAAATGGCATCCTTCGGAAATTTAGTTTTCGAGACCCACATAATTTTAAATTTAGGTACTAAATTATGTAGAAATGTAAATGTAATAAATTTTAACATAAGATATAAAGAACAGCTTTCTGAAATAAAATTTAAAAAGACTGCACCGAATTCAAATTTCGCTAAACGTGTTTTAGAAAATTACCATAATATACATTTTGATATAAATATAGACTTAGAGATATTAAATACTCAAAATAATATTTATATTAATTCAGTTTTAGCAGAATTACACACAATGAAATAAAGAAAATTTTTTAATAATATTTTAAATGTTCAAACCGATTTTAAAAGTAATATCTTATATTAATACATTATAGATAATATACAATAATCAAAAAATGTATATTTCTTAACATATCTATGCCTATTAATAAACCATTTTAAATAATCTGTCCTATTAAAATAAATTATTTCTGTGTAAAACGACCAATTTGTATAATTTTTTCTATGTATTCCTTTGTTTAGTTTTTGATATTCAATCACGTTTTACATTTTGACTGTGATAGACCTGATGATGAATTTTTAATTTGAAACGCATATAATACACTTGTCACAGTACTCAAGGCTACATATTCATTTATTTATTTATTTAAATTTTATATACATTTTTTATTGATATATTTATTTAATTTATTTATTTAAGAGTATTAACCATTTTAATTATTTTGCTTTTATTTTATTATTTTATTGAATAATATAAATTTTCAAGTTAGAAAATGTATTGAATTCCAGAGTATTTTGCATAATAATGCCCAAGGCTCTTAACGCTTTTGTTCCGATGTGATTGATGTTATCGTTGCTTACAGATAAACATTGATTTTTCCCTCTACTACCTTTCCAACTTTGCATCTGCAACAGTGGCTGCACCCGTCCCCACTATCCTAGGACAGATTTTTTTGGTTATTTCTTTATAATTATAGCTTTTTTCGGATGTAGCGAGTTAAAATTAAAACTGTGGGAAAGTCAAAAGACACGTCCGATTCCCTTAATACGCGGCCCTCGCCAACGGGAGAACCTGTACGCCGGCCGCGAATTTTTGACCGCGTTTTTTTGTCGGTCGATCGTAGGTACCCACGCGTCTTCCACTGGCCGCGGCTCACACGGACGCCGCCGTCGCACACCGCCCCGCTAACCCGTTCCACGCGCCGCGAACAAAAAAATAAAAAATAATAATAATAATAATTTCGCAGTTGGTTTACCGATTTTTCATGTTACCCCCCACACGACGTACGGTCGCGTACGCAAATTGTTCCCCGCGGTCGCGGTACAGTTGTTGTAGGTACGTGTTTAATATTGTTTTGTTGTTTGATATCGTTCTCACGCTCACTCAACCTGCTATCTAACAGCCGTGAGCGTTTTTGTACCGAATATTACTCCAATTGGATATAAAAAAAAAAAAAAAATCACAAAGAAATAATATAGATCATCACGTAAATATTGCGGGGGAAGTGTGACGTGCGCGCGTGCGTGTAGCGCGCCGTTCCTGATATCGCGTTTATAACTCCGCGTCTGATACCGGCGACACAACGTGACGGAACGTTCCGACCGCTCCGCCCGTCGCTAGTCGTGACATCAGGACAACGACTGCTAAACCGATCGGCATGTTCGTTCGCGGTGTCGCACGGCCGTAAATATTTAACAGAAACCGGCCCATAGCATAGTACAACGGTGACGTCGCGGTATACGCTCCGTCAATCCGCGCAGAGCATTATATTCTCGAACACTCGAAATCGCATCGCGCGGTGCACAACCGATACCAATTATTATTATTATTATTATTATTATTATTATTATTATTGTGACGCCCCAGTGTGATAGCGCGCGGCTGGTCCGGTAGGATTTTTTTTTCGTATTATTTCCCATTATCTCATTTTATCGTCGTGTTGTTCTACAATATTTCTATCGGTCACGATTATTATTTATAATTTATTATTATTATTATTATTATCATCATCATCGTCTTTCCGGCGGCCGCTGTATCCGCTTTGTGTGGGACCGTCTTCTAGCAAGTCGCAGTGCTACACCCTTTTCCGCGGAACGACGTCAACGCAGCAGCAAAGTAAAGGTACGTACCGTTCAAGGACATAGGAAAAAAAATTATCATCATTATTATTATTATTGTATCGTGGCGACGACAACGAAAAATATTATTAGCTATTTGATTATCGTCGTCGCCCGGTAGACGCCCGGCCCATCCGCCGTCACCGTTTCCGGTGGCTCCATTAGCTCATTGTCGTTTCCACACTCGTGCGCGCGCGTGTCCGGTGGGCCCCTCCCCTTCCGTGTGCGTTTTCCGGTTTTTCGGCCGCCGTTGCACGGTGGTAACGTTCGGAACAATTCAGACTCGTATGTTGATATTTCGTTCGACGAAATTGAAAAAAAAAAATCGTCTTATCGAATTCGTTTGTCGATTATTTCTCCTCACCCGCCCCGTAATAACCCGGCGTTGGCCCTTGCTCACGCGCCGTAGCCCGTTCGTATAATCCGATCGCTAGCGGGGTCCGGTCAATCACGCGCGCCTTATCACCGCTAGTGGCACAGCGCTGTGCTCCGAACCGCCGCTGAGGACGCCACCGACGCGCTAGTTCGTTTCACATTTCGTCCGTCGTCGTAGCGTCGCGTACCGTATTACCGTACCGCCGCCGCCGCAGGAAGAGCGAAAACGCGTCATCCGGCCTGCGCTACAGAACACAACGCTTGTTCGCCGTCGCCGTCGCCGCCGCCGTCGCCGTCGCAACAGCCGCCGTTGTCGTCACTGCCGCCTACGTGAGCCGTTTACTATACCGGTGCCATCGTGTCCTCGTCGGTAGGTGTTGTTTATTGCAATAATATACAGTAGTATAGCAAATGAATCGGTTCGCACGCGTTTTTCTCTTCTCTCTCTCTCTCTCTCTCTGTCCCTCTGTTTCTCTGTTAGACTGCGTGAGAAATTATTTTTTTCATATTAATTTTATATATTTTCGATGGTCGTAGGGACTTCGGCGTAATATATTTTTGCTCCGGTTGTTGCCGCTATCGCCACCGCCGCCGGTTGGGTAGTAACCGATACGCCGCCTTCCTCGTCGCGGCATAGATTTTCCACCGACAAAAAAAAAAAAAAAAAAAAATGGTATTCGCACCACAATAGTATTCTCCTCCTCCTACCGCACGCGTACGAGTCGTACGCTACAATACTCATTATCAATATCATTCAGACAGGACACTAGATTATTGTAGTGCCGTGTACCTCATTATTACAATAATATAAATTATACAAAACAAAAATAGTTTCGGAATCTTCAAAGGTAGTTTTTTTTTTTCGAGTTTTATACCTTCGCAATCTCACATCTCGGGCCGTACAGTGTCGACCATTATCGTGAGTAAAATTGAGTAAAATTAAATCTCAGTGTAAGTAATGTATCTAATGTATTTCTAACCTTTTGTTTGTTAAGTAATGCATTCTATTAGGTCGACGACGCCAAAATCGATATCTATCCAATATATTTTATTTTACACATTCAATAATTATCCTTGAGTAAAAATATTATTATGACCTATCACATTACTGGAAAATGCCGCTGCTTAACGTACATACCAAATTTTCAATTCATATTTTCCTTTGTTCTTGATATTCAAATAATCGTTTTTGGTTGGTATTCATAGTCAACAACTTGTTTGTATTTAGGAAAATTGTTTATTATTATTATTATTAATTATTATTTTTGGTCAGAGTACATAATATTTATAATGTATTTTATGAAAATATGAGTCACTAAATACTATTGTTATGACTCAGTTATATTTTAGTTGATATCGGCTTTTTTTTTTTATATGTTCTATTGTCATTTGTAAATTAAACAGGTACCTAACTAAATTTTTATTTTTATTTAAACATCATAGCTATATACATAATAAGTTTATTAATAATTATTATTCTTATTCTGCAAATGATTGCATTACATTTTATATAAATTTAATAAAATACATCATTTCAAGAACATTTTATTTTTTACCTAATGGGTATTTATAATTCAAAATAATATTTGACACTGTACATTTACTATGTTAAATAATAAATAAGAACTATCCTAAATTGATAATAATTAATAATAGGTCAATAGGTTTAAAAACAAACATAAATTAGGTAGATACCTACTTACTCAAATGTTTTTTTTTTCTTTTCAGTTGATTTAAACATTTTAAACTGAAACAAACTATTTTATTAACCAATTTAAACTGTTGGTTAAAATGTCATAAAATTAACAGCCAAAATATTTTGAATATTTTCAATAATTTTTTTTTAGTTTAAGATCATGCAATAGATACTCTGAAAAATACATTTTTTTTCTATTTATTCTACAATTTTTATTATTACATGAAAAAATAAATGCAAATACATCACACAACTGCCTTTTAATTATTAATATCCATTCTGAATACTAATAATTTGACATCAGTGTGTAAATATACCGAGGAAAATGTATTATTCATTGTATTTTTGGTACCTACCTACTCATCTAATTATATTGTAATTATGTATTTTTAGGTTCAAAAAGTCGAAAAAAAAAATTTAACTGTTTAATATTATATCTTTAAATGTAAAATACTCAATTATTTAATTTTTATCCCTTTAGTTACTTAAGTACTTAATATTAAAAGAACCAAATTTCAACATATTAAATATCTTTTGGCTTTCAATTATTGGTTCTATTGTCTTTCGTCAGCCTTATTCATTATGTTAATTCAAATGATGAGTATTAGAATAGATGATATATCTACTTACATCTTATTTAACCTTGCTATATATTTTATAGATCTGTTAAACTGTAAGTACAGCATACCTACCATGTAGGTAGGTATCTAAATTTCAATAGGTACTATTTAATACTTTTTATTTTTTTGTTTTAAACAGTTACTTACTTACAAATATTAAATATTACAATAATATGATTATTTATATTTTATTTGAGTAATACCTATATAGGTTTAATGTCTAACCATAGGCGCCCATATGTGAAGTTTGGGGGGGGGTTAAGTAAATTAAAAACAAATGTCAAATTGTATTCTAAATAAAGGTTTAGCGTTACAACATATAAATAGGGAAAAAACAAATGCATTTTCAGTACTCCTAGATCTGGCAGGGTCACTTACTTGTTTGGACTGTTTTAAACGGTAAAAATACTAGATTTGTTGTGCAAAACTACATATTATATCTACAATGTATACTGATTTCAAAATGTTATAACTCAAAGTCTAACTCTAAGTTTAACTGCCCAATTCTGATTGTACCATAGTTTTCGGCATAAAAAAGTACATTCTTTTTTTTTTAAAAAAAAATCTGGAATATTTTGTAAGAACAATTAGATTTATATCTACAAATATAATAACTAATATTTATTTAGGGAGGGAGAATATTCTATCTTGCATCCATTCATGGGCGCCCTAACTATTTTGAACTCCAAACATTTATTTTTCATCTACCTACCTAGTTGATCACAATACAATTTTTATCACTGTAAGTGACACATAAGTAAAAATAAAACAAATTTAATAAGTTGGTAAGCCTTTTTTTATGCCTGTTATTTAATTAGTTTCTGGTAAAATATTAAAATGCGCCTTCATTGTCTATATTATAAACTACTATCTAGGCATTTAATCTTTAATTAATTATTGAACTTTGAATACAAACCTCGATGCAAATCATTTTAATTAAACTTTATCTACATTATACTGGCACACAGTATCAATTTATGCTCTAAATTAAATTTTTTTTAATTGATGTTATTTTCATTATAAATTAATAATTTAATGGTTTTTTTACTATTTTATCTAATATAAAATTCACTATTATGATACATATTTTATTAGTTTGTAAATATATTGTTTATCTTTACATTTATATAGTATGCAAATACACAATACATAATGCTGTAGTATTATCAACATATTAATTTATTAATTGTAATTTATGGTTTTGTTTTTTTTCAGCTTTCAAAAAAAAACATTTAAAGTTGTTTGAAATTAATTTTAAAATCATCAATTAAAATGCGGGAATACAAAATAGTGGTTTTGGGTAGTGGTGGAGTTGGTAAATCAGCATTGACGGTGCAATTTGTGCAAGGTATATTTGTTGAAAAGTATGATCCGACAATAGAAGATAGTTATCGTAAACAAGTTGAAGTGGATGGACAACAATGCATGCTCGAAATACTGGATACTGCTGGAACGGTATGTGTTTCAATATTTATATCCATAGTATTATCTTAAAAAGTTATTAATTAATCTCAGACACAGTAAACTAATTAAACTTGGTTTTTAATTAGAATTGCAAGGTAAGAATAAAAGTTATTTAATAAAGTTATATTTGACTTTTGAAAGTGTATTAGTGAGAGATCCTTAGTGTGCTGCTTAGAAATCTATAATAATAATAATAATATTTAGTAGGTACTCAGTACTTTGTAAATACTTATTTTACTACTTAAACTGATTTAAACTTAATTACTCAGTATATACAAGAGCCCCCCAGGTACTTAGCTAATATGTTTAAATAATATTAATTATAAAAAATGTGTACTTAGCTATTCTAGGATTTATTTGTATACTTGTAATATCTATTATACTAATTATTTAAATATGTTATAAATGTATAAGATATATTGGTACTTTCCTGTTATACACTACTTCCTTGTTTTGTGAAATTCTATTATTTAAGTCTAGCAAAATTTGCCCACTTTCCTATTATCATAGAATCCTATTTTAATTCATATTAACAAATTATATTTAATTCTTTGATAATTTGTTTAATGTGTATTATGGGGATGACCATATTAGAATTATATAAAAAAAAATTAAATAAAGAAAAGATTTAAATACACAGTATGGTCACAGACAGACTAATAATATATTAATAATAACATAATACAAAGAATAATTTTTTATATTTAATAATTTTACATTTAGGAGAGTAAACATGTATTGATCAGGAACCTGAAACAAAAAACATTCTTTAGTTTTAGGATACAGTCGTTCAAAACTCTATTATTGTGGAAGTATTCTGCCTACATTATTTTTGTGCTTAGAAAATAAGTTTGTCTATTTTAACAATTTTTCCTTGGTTTCTTATCTCAGTACAGAGAACACAAACTTCCCGCAAATAGTTATTCCAGTCTACAAAATTATTTCTGTTTATTTTCAAAATTTGTTTGCATCATTTTATAGAAGTCCAAGCAAAAATAAATTGTATAAGTGTAACAAATAGAAAAGTCGAAGTGGAGTCTTGGGTGGTAGTTGCAATAATAACTGTAGTCTCCTATAATAAGGAAGTATTTTTTCCAATATTTTGGTGCCATTTCAATGTGGGGTCTATTTCGTCTGTGCAATATATAAATATCTACATACCATAACATTTTTTTAAATATAAAAGTATTTGATTTATTGTATACCAAACCCCCTGTATATCCAGTGTCCTTTCACTGTGGAATTTGAGCCAATAAGTGGAGTCAATAGGTGTAGGAAGTGGTCATTCAAACTTTTAAGTGTTATTCGATTATAACAAAATATTAATTTTGAACAATTTTAAGCAAACAATGTTAAAACGTAGACCATATACTGAATTAAAAATACATCAGGGATCATATATTATAGCAGCACCAATATTTTTTTATAAATACTAAAATTCAAATAAATATTATTAAAGTGTTTAGATATTAGATGCAAAATATTTTGCGTTACAACTAATAATGTATCTTAGAAAAATTTTATTTTTTGTTAACTATTATGTTTATTTAATTTTATTATTTACCATATGGTCCTTTAACCATTTTATTTTATACTATAAAACACTTTTAAATATCATACTTGTTCTAAATATAACCACCAGCTGTTTAATAAAATCTCTATTGATTAAGATTATAGTCATCAGTATTTAATAGTTTTTTTTTTTTTTTTTATATCATTCGTCATTATTAAATATATTTATTTTAATATTACCCCTAATTCTACCTAATACATAATATTTTAGCTGCCTTTTAAATTTTAATCAAATATTTTCTATAGTTATGTGTATACATATAATATTTATTATTTTTACTTTTTTACTATTTTATGATCGAACTGGAAGAACAATTATGGGGGTTTTCCGGTGAATATGAAAATAGAATAAATGAAAATTATTAAGAAATTATGTACCTATCTCGATATCTACATTATATATTATTGAGATATAAGACTAAACATTATTATGTCCTATATTATAATTTATAATTTTTTTTTTAGATATGATAGGTAATTGTTATGTATATTTTCTATTAAATTATTGAAGATTAATGTTTGAATGATTTGTGTTAATTATTTTCTTCTTCTGTGATTGATGCCTTTAAGACTTATGTCCAAACAATTTTTCTCCAACTCTTCTTAAATCTAATGATTCTTCCAATTATCTCTGGGCTTTACTTTTTCCATATCTTTAATCACTCTATCTTTCCATCTTAGTCTTAGTTTTTCCCCTGTGGCACATTTTCTAATGGCACAATTTTAGCAACAATAATTCATGCTATATGCCTATATATTCTCATTTGAGTTTTTTGGTAATATCTTCCACAATATTTGGGGTCTCTTAGTTATTTATTTGTCATGTTCTTCTCTCTACTGTGCGTATGTCTTTACTTTGTCCATAAACTTACCTTAGTATCTCCTTTAAAATACATATAATATATTTGAGACTATTTTTCAAGAGTATTTTAGATTTCGGGAGCCTTGTTAAACCAAAAATTATTATAAATTCACTAGAAAATATAACATTGATTATTGAATTACAAAATAATTATGAACTACAATATTTTACTAAAATAAATTAAGTTCAATAAAGCAACTTATAATTTGATTAGTTCAATTTAAATTAAAATATATTTTTGAAATAATATAATGCTAAATGTATATTTTTATATATTGTTCAAAGATATATATTTATATAAATATATATTGTTATAACTACTTGGTATATTTTTCTTTCGACATCCATTTATAACAATAAAAATATTTTTGTTGTAGCCACTTTCTATTTGTGTGCCATTTACCTATATTATATAGGAAGACTATAAATTATTTAAAAATACTATTAATTAGACTTATTCAAATTAAACTAGATCATATAATTATGATAAATTAAATATTTATTTTATAGCCATAAATTAACAGATATATATAAAACAAATTAATTAATTAAAAAATATATAGGTGGATATTAAAATAAATAATTACTAAATAGATTGGAAATAACTAATATTTAACCCATAAATACTCTATTTTATTTCTGTTATTATTAAATATTTTATTCTTCTGTAATACTTCAAATTACCATACGTGTAGCACACTATGTACTATAAACTGGAGTAACTAAATTATTCTGACCATTTTTACTAAATAATGCTCAAATTTTATGTTATAATTTAATTAGTAATACTCTTTATTTAGCATTAAATTAATAATTGTATATTTAGTTAAAGTTAAAACAAATTCAAAAATAAAACAAATATGCTACACAATATAATATATTTACATAGTATAATAGGAATACATTGATAACCAAGAGTCAATGCACATATTTATAGAAATCTATTATGTAAACAGTCATTAGGGTTGTGAATTTATTGCACTATAAAATCTTAAAACATCCCTAAAAATAATAACTGACAATATAACTAAATAACCTAATCATTTACAGATAATTATATATTCTAGAAATGTAATACTGATAAGTCACAATTAATGAACTTCCTTAATCAACATCCATTAATGATTAACTTTATCTTATTCAATCATGATAAGAATTATAATAGTATAGTATTTTTCAACTATTAGTGAGTTCTAGTTCATCGTACTTATTGTATTTTATTAATTATAAGTATAATATTAAATATAAATTCCCCCACTCTTCCCTAACAAAAAATTAATTTGTACAATTTGTATGATGTCTTGTAAATAGCTAGTATTTGTATATATTTAGTTAATGAGTTAATTTGATTAGGTATGTACAATATATGTTTAAGGTATTAAAGTTATTAAATAAACAAATTATTTATGGTTTTACCTACTACATTTTAACTCATATTGTGTAAAAATGTCATAAATGTAATACGTAGGTCACTATAGATATATTTTGTTATTAAAAAAGATATTGCACACAATTTATTTAAACTTTTTTTTTCAATTCGTGTATTTTATAATTTAAGTTTTTAACCTCCCATAACACAGAAAATATACTGAATTTTATTTTGATAGTTACTCATATTTAAAAATAAAATAAAAAAATGATTTTTGCTTGTTTAATACAATTAAAACCTAATACAGTGGTGCGCAACCTTTTTAATGTGCCCCAACAGCCCCCCAAATTAATTTTTTTAATGAGGCTACCCTCCTTTCTATCAACATTATATAAGTGTATAATACATATTTACTTAATGTATAGCATAATATTATAGTAGTATTTTAGGATGTTTTAATATTGGTTTAGTTTAATCATTTAATTTATCCAAATTTTTGATTTCAAAACATTACTGAAATTTTTATAATTATAATCAACATTTTAATAATTTAAAATTATAAAATTACATGATTTAATGAAACCCTTGTGCTTGAATTGTAGACATGACTGAATTTGATGTTTGAGACTGCTATTTTTAAATCTGCTTCGACATTCAATCTGGAGTGATATTTGTTTTTTTATTATCGGTAGTGTTGAAAATGCTATTTTGCATAAATAATTTTAAGCAAAAGTAATAATTCCTGATTGAGTTTAAAAATAACCCATCTACTGCATGATTCAATAGAACTTATTATCCCAATATTAATATAATAATATGACATATTACATTATATATATATAACTAATTATTGGAGACTCCCTGTTAAAATTTCATGACCACCAGGTTGCACACCTCTAACCTAATATATCTAATGCATGCAATTTATTTTGAATATACATCAATAGTTGTAATTTAAAGCCTAAAACATCTATGTTTTATGGGATACCTAATTAATTTTTTTTGATTTATTTTAATAGTTTGTACTTAAATTTGTTTTCTAATTAGTTATAATTAATTTTGTTTGAAATTAAATTGTGAATAAAAAACAAATAATAATTAGATACCTATCTAAATTATAAAAATGTGCATGTTATCTGGTAAAGTGTTGTGTAGGACCATGAGAGTTATCATTTTTAAATAGTTACAATTTTAGATCGTATGCAATGGATGGAATCATGGCATATCACACTTACAGAATGAGTTAAAGCCAATATAACTATAACCCATGCCATTTGAGCATGGGCAACTTCTTAACAATCTTGTTTTCTTAGTTAAAATATAAGAATTAAAGAAACTTAGGAGACCTTTATTCATGTTTATTTAATATCTGCTCCAAAAATGAATGATAAGAGACCACACTCTTGTCCTATAGTTATATTGGCTTCACACATTTTCCCAGTTATCTATTGTATATGATCTAAGGCTACAATACAAAAAATACAAAATTACATTACATTATATTTTTTGTATACAATAAAAAAAATGAAGATAAAATTTTTTTTCCTGAACATTAACTTAATCATTTTATTAATTTTGCATTTTTAAAAACAAATAAATATTGATTATTTGGTTTATTATTTTCTTAAATTATACATTTTTTTTTTTTTAAATTAAAATCCCCAAATTTTAATGAATCTTTCTACTTTTAATTCTAATATAATCCGTATATTGATAGTTTATTATGTAGATATCTATTACATTTTTTATTCTTATTGATTTATTTCTTAATTAATTAAAGATTTGATTAAAACGGTGTATTTTTTTAATGTGTTTTATTTAAAAAAAAAAACTGAAATAATGTTAATTTATAATAATATTGTTATGTTAGATATTTAATTAAATATTTTTATAAATAGTGCATACATTTTTTATTATTATTATTTTTCATAATAACTGAATTGATTTGAATTACCCATCTTTTTAAAATGTTAAAACAGGAACAATTTACAGCAATGAGAGATTTGTATATGAAAAATGGTCAAGGATTTGTTCTCGTATATTCTATTACAGCGCAATCAACATTTAATGATTTACAAGATTTAAGAGAACAAATTTTAAGAGTAAAGGTATACAGTTTTAAAATATTTATAAATATTACTGTTTATTAGGTATTTAAGATAAATAAATAATGTACAATATATAATTATTAAATGTTTAGGATACTGATGATGTTCCAATGGTATTAGTGGGAAACAAATGCGATTTAGAAGAAGAAAGGGTTGTTGGTAAAGAACAAGGTGTGAATCTCGCTCGTCAGTTTAATTGTGCTTTTATGGAAACATCTGCTAAAGCAAAAATAAATGTCATTGATGTAAGTACTAAGCTCAATTAATTATGTATGTTTATAAAAGTTTGTGTGTATTGATTATATTATAATAATTAACTTTATTTGTTTTATCAATATATAAATATTCCCTTCAATAGTTATTTTTTTTTTTAGAAACATCAGAGTGTGAGTATTTATTAATTAATAAAAACGAAAATAATAATAATTTATCATTTTAATATTTTCTTAAATTAATGTGAAGGGCTTTTATAAACAATTCTATATTCCAAATTATTTGATACAATTAAGATACTTTTTTTAAAATTTTTTGTTTTTTTTACTTGATTAAATTCTACTTAAAAATTGTGTATTAGTTAATATTAATCCTTAAAAAAACTTTGGTTCATTCTTTAAATTTAAATAAATAAAAGTAAATCATTTTATTTAATTCCAGTATTTACAAATCAAATGTTTATTTTCATTGTTCTGAATTTACTATTTTGTTAAAAGTAATCATTAAAAGCATTTTGATGAATATACTAATTATTAGTTACTAGAAAAAACAAATTATCTATTTAAAAAATTATTAAAAATGTTTTATTATTAATTTGTTTTAGATATTTTATGATTTAGTGAGACAGATAAATAAAAAGAGTCCGGAGAAAAAACCAAAAATAAAAAAGAAGACCTTATGTACTCTTCTTTAAGTAGCTAAGTAAAATTACTGAAACAACAATCAATACTACCAATCCACTGTAGAAAAAAAAAACAAACATAATTTTTAACAATGTGGTAAAATATTATTGTTTTATGAGAGTCATTGCTGAATTTGTTATTGCTTTCTAATTTTTATTTTAAATGGCTAAATCGACTTTTCCAAATTTGCTTTTGTACTTTTTTTTTTAATTTTTAAGTAATTATTATTTTTATTTTATTGTTCATTATTGGATATTACCTAAAATTGTAATACTTTCTAAGGACTGGATCCTTGTAAATACCATTAATTATTAAACATTTACACAAGTTAACACCATGTAAATTTGTAAATCTAATGTATCAATACCTATTATTTTTCTAACTGAGTTTTTTAAGATCATTCATTTTTTCTCTATTTTTTAAATGTTATTTTAAGATGAAATAATTTCATTCTTAATACAGTTTTACATAAAAGTGCCAATTTTTAGTTAATTCATTAATAGTATCAGCTATGAAACTCCAATAAAAGTTGTCTTAATTACTATCAGTTATTTTTATTCATAAATCATTTGGTATTGAATATTTTCTCATTAACAAACATGATAATAATAACATTGTGATTTGAAATTTATGCTGCCAATAATATCTGTTATTTTTTTTTTTGGTAATTTAAATGTCAGCATATTAGGTTTAAATTTGCAGTAAACCAATCATGATGTAAAATGATTTTAAATAATTTGAAAACAACACCATAAACTCGAACTCTTGTAACATATTGCATAAAACTTAAATTAGAACTTTCACATAATCCTGGTAACAATTCCTTTTTTAAAATTATAATTATTTAAAAACTTAATACTTATTTAAAACCAATTAAAGTAATGCAGAATATTTTATTTTATTTGTATTTCAATGTAAAAATTTGGGTTTCTATTCTATAGTGGACTTAATAAAATTATTTTAGTTACTATTAACTTGTGTAAATCAAAATCCAATACAAATATTGTATTTAGATCTTAATCTAGTCTAAATATATTATTTTAGTTGGTCTTATTTCTTACAATGGACCTTATGTATGTTCATTACTGTATTGTTTCATTAACTGTTTCGAATGCATTTTCAATCATCCAGGGTTAAAAATGAAGGCCAATTATGAGTACAATAGGTTTACCTATTTAAACTTGAGTTCCCAATATTGTGTGTTTCATAATTATAATATATTATTATACATATATTATATTCAACTCATGTATAATAATAATTTATATTCAACTTTTTAAAATGATTTGAATATATCTTCAATATCTTCTATTAGAACAATTCTTTAAGAAAACATTGAACTCAAATACATTATCTAATTTTTTAAAAATAGTTGTCATACATATATTATTATTATTAATTGAAAATATATTTTCTGGTATAAGTGTATAAATATTTACACACCACCATAATATATTGTTCAAGTAAAAAATATTTAGACAAATGTCTTATTCTTTTATCAAGATTCAAACTTACACCATAATATTTTATGAAGTTTAAGCTTTAAATTTATAAACATAAATATTTGATTTTATTTAAAAATTGATGCCCATAGTTATTGCCATGTATTGTACCTGTACTAACCTGTATCGCACAAAATTATTCTTGTGATAACGAACAAACCTTAACATTATCATTTATAATAATACACAGTTATTTATACAATTTACACAAGGTATTACAAGGTTCTATTATAGCTGTTTATTTATATGTAAAAAACTAATTGGTTTGTTAATTACAGAAATGCTTTTTTCCTTTATTTTTATTCTGCAATTCTTATAGACATTTTTCAACACAACAACATAATATATTAATATTTTTGGTCTTATAAAAAATCTGGCATTTGAATGATATTCGGAAATTTTTCGGTTAAAAATTATTATTATAATAATATTATACTATGAATTTTGACTTGTTAACAATTTTCTAATTCTAATAGTTTGTTTTATAAAATATTATTATAATATTACTTAACAAATCCATAATTGTAAGGATATGCAAATACAGATAAATACATTTTTTTTTTAATGTTTATACATATATGATATATATAACTTTGTGTATGTATTTATTAAAGAATTACATACAGACATGTAATTTTATAGGTACCATTTATGCATTTATATATATTTTAAAATATAAGTGTTTTGTAGGCCAATATTTAATATATTTTATTTAGTGTGAGCCTTAGTTCACTAGTTCGTTTGGTACCAATAAAATTTAAGTTATACAAAAATCTTAATTTTTTTTTTTAAAATATAATATGTTTGTAATAATGATTTATTTATTTGAAATATTGACGCTTATAAAAACTATAAAACTTTGGAACCAATTTTTAGACAATATTATTGTTAGTAGAATATTTTAATATAAATAATATTATTAATTATTATAATAGGATATTTAGTGAAATTTTAATGGGTGGTTTAATATTAATATTTATTTGAGTATTATTAAACTTTTATTATTTTTAACTGATTGATTCTGTATAAACACTGTACACCCACATTTATTTGTAATATTTATTTATTATCTGTCTAAATAAAATATTTACGCATAATTTAATAACTTGATAACAAGTTTCCAAAAAAAAAAAAACGCTAATTTTATTTTATTATTTTATTTAAAAAGCCAAAAATGGAATATTATAAATAATATACTCATAGTTATTAAAATATTATTTGTCAGTGTGTGTGTGTGTATGTGTTTTTGTGTGTGTACTTTGTGTTGTTCAATAACCACAAGACCAATTCAGTTTTAAGTATAAAAAAATTAATGTATGATATTGTTAAATCCATTTTCCTTACATAATAATTATTTTAAATATCTACCTATATTATAAACATACATAAATTATTTTATATTTACCAGTGTAATACTACTGCTGTGTACTATTAATACTGTTATTATTATTATTATTATTATTATTACCATTCGGGTTTTTCATCTATTTAACTGCATTAGATTCTTATCAGTTATCATGAGCAATTTGAAATTTGAAAAAAATTTCACTAACTCAATAATCAGATAACTATATAAAATAATCAAACAACTCGGGTGGGCGTGATAATTATTAATATTGTACAGCACTAACTCCTGACATGGAGCCGCCCTACTTTATAATAATAGTGACTTTTATGTAATGTACCTTCCTATATTGTCTTTTTATTATAATTATAATCCTGGAATATAATGTAGTTATACTGTGATTTTAAAAATAAAAAAATAATATTGATAATATAATTAAATACATATAATATTACATATGCAAAGTGTTTTAATCATATTTTTTAAAACATGTTTTTATTAATTTACAAAATAATATTATGTTTCAATATTTCAATATTATAAAAAAAAATATATTATTCCTCTCTCTTTGATCACTATATATTAAATATAATAAATATATATATTATATACATTATAATAATAATAATATTTATCATCATTGTATTGTAATTAATTAATAATAATTAATATATTGTAGTAAATTATTTTTCAAAACACATCTGTATACATATTATACAAAAAAAAAAAATAAAAATAATAATTATATTGAATACATATAATAAAGAAAATGAAAGAATATTTGTCTGGCTACCTATTATACCTATTGTAACATAAGTTTTCCTACCAAAACAGATGTTAGTGGTGATGGTTGTACATATGGTTTTTTTTTATTACGATTATTGGTTGTTTGCTACATAATTTTAGCTACCTACACACCTACATATTATGTCGTAATAACAATTAATTTATAATGAAAAACCTGTTAAACATATTATGAGGTGGTTATAATAGCTGATATAGGTATAGAACAGTTGTTCACTTTAGATTTTTCCGACAATTTTTCGGCAAGAAAATAAAAATAATTTACAATTATTTTATATATTTTCTGAAGATTATTTAGATTGATCTTTTATTTTTTAGATTATTTGGTTTTCGTTTACTGTATGATGTGTATCTTGATCAACTTTTCGGAGGAGAGAAGTTTAATAACCTCATCGCGTTGTTTTTAAGTAGTAAATATAGGTATAATGTTCGTGTGCTAATGAAGGATTTTCCGGGGTGGGAGGAACCTACATTCGGGATCTAAAACTAAATACTTTTATAATATTACAGCTCAAAGTTAAATTTAAATTTGTCAAAATTGCCGTTTTTTTTTTCACATCACACAATGGAATTCATATAAAACTAAAGATTTTTGATTATCATATGAGTTGTTCTTATGGCATCGTAAAAATTTCGAAAATTCGACGTACATTATTTCAATTAATGGTTTATCGTTGTTTACAGATATAAATGAAATAACCTTATGTATCCTATCTTCCCAACTTTTCATCTATAACAGTAGCCGCTCCCATCCCCAGTATCAGCTATTTTTGTATATTAGTTTGTAAGTTATGACTGAAATTTTAGTCATAAATTTAATCGTGAATCATAATAAATAACGATTTAAAATTTCACATTCACAAAACATATTTTGTGAATTGCGATAGCGATATAATATAGTACATAAATATTCCACTGCGATCCACGAACGCTGCATAATTGTTTTATCAGCAGAGTAATATTATAGTCACAATTTCATAGACGTTAGGCAACCAGTGTATCTTTAATCGTGCCTATTACTAAAATTAAAGATAAAAGATTATATACACTCTAGCGTTGATGATTTTTCGATATTTTCATTTTTAAATGAAACATGATTATGTTTATTTATTTGTTTACAATAACGGCATACAGCTTTTTTAATACAAATACAAAGTAAAATATAATATTAAGTACAATTAAAAAAGACATAATAATATAAATAAGATTTACATTTTACTAGAGAGAAATGGAGGGGTCCAATGACCGAGCGATTGGTTTCTTTTATAGTATGAATGAAAAATTTGGATGTGGAATGAAACAGAACGACGTAAAGTGCGGGATGGAATTTTATAGTTAATTTGGGACAAGAATACGGGAGAATCAATTTTGCCATTAAGTATATTATTAATAAAAGTAAGATTGGTATTATGGTTGCGATCAGCTAAAGAAGCTAACTGCAGATATGCTAATACTGGAGTGTAGTCATGATGAGAACAATCTATTTTGAGAATAAAGCTGGCAAACCTTAGGAACTTACGTTGAACTCTTTCAAGTTGATAAGATGACGTAGCTGCAGAGGCGTCCTATAGGACAAATTTCCGGAATAGATCTAAAGAATGCACAGTATAAAGCCTTAATTGGTGCAGACAATTTGAACTCTTGTGCTTTCGTTTGATAAAGCCCAAGGTTTTTTGTGCCTTACAACAAGCATTTTTAATATGCGGATTAGGGTTAAGCGTAGGAGTAAGGATAAAACTTAGGTCACGAATAGACTTATTAAGTGACAAAATATGATTATTATTAATGATATATGTAAATTTAAATGGGTTTCTGGTATGGGTAAAGGTCATAGGAATGGTATTTAGAAACGTTAAATGAATGACCTAAGGATTCTGCCCAGAACACCAGTCTGTTTAATGGCACATCTGATGTCACATTTGTAGGAGGGGATACTACCCCGTAAATTTTTACCCATTGTTTTCTACATGAAAGGAATGAGTTATACCATGATAAAAGTAATTCACCTATTCCAGTTCGAGGAACTATTTTTAGCAGATTATGGTGATTTACACGATCAAAGGCCTTGAAAAAATCAGTATAGATCACATCAACCTGGAGTGAGCACCAAAAGCACCAAATATATAATTTTAGAAAGTTACATGGCAAGTTGTAGCCGAATTACCAAGGTGGAAACCATGTTGCTCATCCATCAATATGGGATTGATGGAAGGCAGAATACAATCTAAGATAAGAGATTCAAATAGTTTATAAACGAGAGATAAGATGGATATAGGTCGGTATTTCTCAACCAGAGAAGCATCACTCGATTTTAGGATAGGTGTTGTGTGACTAATTTTCCATAAATCAAGAAATACACCATCCAATAACGGGCTCCTAAAAAGGAGCTATAATAGAAAAGCTAGCGTGTATCTTAGATTGCAAAGAATCAGACCGGGTATGTTATCTGGATCAATAGACGTTATAACTTTTAGTTTGGATAAACCTATAAATACATCATCAACAGAGAAGGAGCATCTATTAGGAAGTCATAAGACAAAATATCTAAGTTAAATGGATCAGTAGTAATGGCTATTTGAGTAGAATAAACGGAGTTAAAGTAGGAGGAAAACATATTAGCTGTATCTTGCTCATCGTTACTACTGATACTTGTTAAGCTTTATAAATTTAGAAGTGCAACAGTTAGATCAATTTGTTCTAACAACGTCTCAAAACTTCTGAGGTTCTTTATTGAGAAAGTTTTCAGTTCTTTGTATTAAAGAAGAGTAACATTTTCTTGGACAAAAACTTGTATTTAGCACGAAGAAGAGAAAATTCTTTATAATCTAGAGGTAATCACCAGTACATTTAAACCGAGAATAAGCTTTTTTTATAAGCGACAAAAATGATTTAGTTCAGTAGAGACCTACGATGGGTAAGTTGATTTAATAAAAAGAGACTATGGAATGAAATTTAAGATAGAGTGGTGAAGTGCATCATAGAATGAGTAAAGTGCAGAATTACAGTCGAGTTGTGAAAAGGTCAATTAATCATCCAATTAATAATCCAAACATTCAATTAAAAAAAGTGTGTGAGCTATCAAAAGGTGGGATTGTGGGAGACGTTTTGTATAAAATACACAAAGCAGGATGGTAGGAATTGAGTGGTACAAGAAGTTCAGGGACAATTTCAGTAGAGAGGTTGTTTAAATTAGATCGAGATCGAGAAGAGAATTGTTTAAAAAATTATTAATTTGGAAGAAGCCATTGTGGGCGAATCTTTTCGGAACACAAGGAATACGTAAGGGCGTGGATGAATTGTAAATTAAACCAAAGTCGTCGTTGTCCTATATAATATTAGGTAGGTTGTAGTCACTACATACTATAAAAGTGTGATTGGGGTGAAGAGAAAGAGTAGATTCAAAGGAGGACATGTGATCCTTATAAATGGAAAGAGAAGAACCTGGAGGGATATATATGCTGCAGATAATACATTTATCGGAGTCAATAGTAAAGCCAACAAATAATTGTTCAATGTTAGTATAGGTAGTACTTATATTAGCAGATGAAATGTCTTTACAAATAGCAATAAGGGCACCTCTTCCTCTAGTGCAAGAGCTAGATTTAGTACATCTGTCATATCTAAAAAAAATTATAATTATTTAGATTTAGTCAACTAAATATAATCTGACAGATGAAAAATAATTCATTCTTTGAGTTAGTATATTATATACATTTGTACTTGTTATTATAAATATCTATCTATTCTACCTACATTTAAAAATGGGTATGTTTTCATTTTATTACAATTTCATGGTTATGTCCAATGCAAATTATCTGTAAAATGCATCTTGGCAAAATTATAATAACATATTTATAAATTAAACTAAGTCTTATGAAACTCTTTTTTCTAAACTTTAGTCACTTTATCGACTATTTTAAGCACAACACATAGGTGGAAACCTTGCATAAGTCTTAAAGATATCAATCACATAAGAAGAAAGTAATAAACACAAATCGTACAAACATTTATCTTCAATAATGTTCTAATAAATATATAACAATTACCTATCAAATATAAAAACAAAAATATTTTTATAAATTAGAATATAGGACATAACATAGATACGGAGATAGGTACAAAATTTCATAAATTATTTTCTGTTAATTCTATTTTCATATGCATCAGAAAACCCCCATAATTTTTCTTTCGATTTAATCATGAGATAGTAAAAAATTAAAACTAATAGATAGTCAAAATAATAAATATTATGTGTATACACTATATATACTAAAAAAATACGTCATAGAATAATGGAGAAAAAATGATTAAATTAATTAAATTATTAAATTATTTTAAATTATTAATTAATCTATTTAAACATTTTAATTTAAATTTAATGTATACCTGTAAGCAACAAAAAACCATTGTTAACGAAAAAATGATTCTGAACGCAGTTCAGTGGATAGTGATGCTTTGTCAACAATATTAATATGTATTAAAATAATTAAAATAATTAAATAGACATTATAATGGGTGATTCATTAAGAGGTACTTTTTTTAAATGGGGTTTTATGACAGATAACGAATGAGTCGTATCAAACTGTCGTGTTATTTTTGTTTAGTGTTGTTTAACATTTCATCATGGAAAGACTTAGTCCGGCACAGCGTCTACAAATTATTCAACTTTATTACGAAAATCAGCGTTCTACGAGAACTGTTTTTCGTAAGCTTAGAGAAACTTATGGTCCGCATGATCGGCCTACCGAACACACAATTCGCTATACAATTGTAAAATTTGAAACCCAATTTTTATTATTAGATAACACATGACCAAATAGGCCGCATCCAACACGTAGTGAAGAAAATATAGCGGCTGTAGCTGGAAGTGTACGCGATGACCGTGATGAATCGATTCGGCGCCGTTCTTAACAGCTTGGCTTGTAAGCAACAACTTAGCGTATTTACGTAAGGACCTTGGTTTAAAAGCATACAAAATTCAACTCGTCCAAGAATTAAAGACGGCCGACCTTCCGAATCGTCATCGTTTTAGTGAATGTGTTCTTGAAAAGATTGACGAAAATCCACTGTTTTCGACCAACATTTTGTTATTGTATTTCAGAGTAAAATTGATGGTAGAAAAATTGTCTACAAAAAAAAAAATTAATAATTGACTAATATGTTTCGTACATTTTTTCAGGTTTTCACGATTTTTCCCAGATATTATGAAAACCACTTGAAAAATCAAAAAATGACCTCACTAAATTACCATGGAGGTAAAATTTGCTTTCAGAAAATAAGTTACACTTGATGTAAATCGGTGAATGCATCGGTGCAAGATTTTTGGTAGAAAAGTTTGCACAACAAATTGAGGGGTTAGGTTAGCGAGTGATAGCTGGGTCTCTAGGTATACCTAAAATGCATTTGTTGATTCCTTGTTTGGGTAAAATGCCAAAAATAAGAGCAATTCATTTTTCCGTGTCACGGGTTTAAACTCGTGACCCCTAGGATGATAATAAGCATAATTAACCATTAGATCACGACAAATATGCTTAAAAAGGTACAATATAGAGTTATTTTATATAACATAATATCAGAACTTCAAAAAGCTATAATTTTGAAACTTAGTCAGTTTGTATAATTCTAACTTTTCTATCGTTTTTAAATTAGCAATAAACCATGTTCAGAAAAAAAAAAAAATGATAAATTACATTTGTTCCACATAACTTTTTACTTAACGATTTTTGTAAAAGTTTGATATTAAAATTCCTTTATAAAGAAAAATACTATATTAAATTAAATTATTTTTTTTTGCCACAAAGTAAGACTTAATGAACCTCTTGTTAAATTTTCAAACATTGCGGTCAAGTCTAACAATTTCACCATAGAGTATTTACGAACAAAAATTACGTCCAAACATCTCGAAATTAAAATTTCTATAAATAGCTTAAAAATGGCTCAAATATTTTGGAATTTTACCATGTCTAGAAAAAAGCAAATATAAGTTGTCTGTCTAAATTTCAAGCCTTTACGAATATTTTTAACTAAATTACAACAAATAACAAAATTGAAAAATAATATAAACTTTATTTTCGTACATTTCCTGTTTTTCTAACGTTTTATCCTGGTTTTTCCCAGATATTATGAAAACTGCTTAGAAAATCTGAAAATGACCTGTTCAAAATATCATCTGGATAACATTTCCTTTCGAAAATGGTGTTACGCGTATATATCGGAGCAAATTTTCTGGTAGAATTTTCGTACACAGTATAAAAAAAAAAATAAACATTTTAGTTAAATCAATACATTCTTTGTTACACTTAGAATCTAAAAAAAATTGTTTAAATTAGTTCTTTGTAATTTGAATGCTTTACAATGAAGTGTGAACGCATTTTAATAAAAAAATGTACAATATTTTCCATATTGTGTTCGTCACAATTAACATATTATGGTAAAGATGTTGTGTCTATCAATAATTTTGAAGTTATAGTAAAAATAGTATCTATATTAAATTTTTCAAAAATTAAAATCTGTAATGTTATTTTTTCTAGAGTTGATATGAGAACAAAAAGACAATTTGATGGATGAATCAATAATCCTCTGAAGTGCATTTTAATAAGTTTGTCTCTGGTTGAAATAAGATCAGTTTTTAATGTTAAGAGATATCTATGACATTTGGCAAATCTAGTAGATATTTGGGCAATGTACCCAGCTAAGTAAGACGACATTAAACTCATGTTTCATGCAAACTATAATCATAGTCATGAATGTATGTATGATACCAATTGTATTTTTTTAGAATTTTCTTTAACTTAAATCTGATCTAGTTCTTGGTTTATTCTTTAGGCTCGTTCATTACTGTTAGTTATATCTTTGATATTCAAAAGGGTATTTATCATATCTCCACCAAAAAAATATTGGAACCCTTTACAAGGCTAACTACATAACTCGTTGGATTTTATTAAGTAATTGCTAATAAACTAATTTAATCAAAAGAAATATCTTATTTCAATACATTTCTTAATCTGCAAGTGTAACGTCATATTATCTGATCAAAATCTTTATCCAGTACGATTTGACTCAAACAAATAAAAATATACTAACAATCCCGATGCAAAGTAACTTTAAAATTGTTATATTCTACATTTTAAGAACTTATAAACTTATTTTATTTCAAAAAATCTCATTTGAGTATCTCTTATTTAATAATAGTCAAATCTAATCACTCTTATTATGTGTTTTTAATTATACAATTAAATTGTTTGGATCCAAACAATCAAATGATTACTGATAAAAGTCTGATAAGAAGTGCATGACATTAGTACCACGAATTAAGTATATCTTAATTCGTGAATGTAGTATAAAAATCGCCCGTATTTGAAATACATAATTTTAACTTATCAACATTTAGTACATTAATTGTTTTATTAAGAAAAAATGTTTTACAATTTTGGGAAATTTGGTACGAGATTTCGGCCATACCTGGCAACACTGTTCTATATTTTATAGTCGTCAGCGGTCAGCCATTAACAACGCTGATCAATATTTCCTTCTAATTTCATACGTCTTCTTGTTAGTTGTTACAGTATTTTGTAATACTACTACGAATAGTGATTACATTATTTAACAGTTTTTGCGTATTAAAAAATATACTTGAATAATCAGCGCTGGAAGATACGAAATAGTGAGTACCTACTATAGGAGGTACGTATTAATTATTAAACTCGTATTATATATATATATATATATATAATATGTCTCATCTATTAGATGAAATTATGAATTTCATGAAAAGTTATCCAGTTAATAAAATGGAAATCATTTTTTTTCCACTTGGTAAGTTTAAGTTGATATATTTTCACGAAATAGATAATTAACTTTGACATCGTATAATTTTTTTTATCAAATAGTCATCCTCCAAACTAAACATTAAGTTTTTATTATAAATATTATTTTTAAAAATTTCGGAATATGTTTTTATATCAATAAAGTAAGTAGGTAATATTTAATATTAATAATTTACTTATTCACAAAATTTGTGACAACTATTATATTGAATTTTACCTTTGAAACATTTGCTTCACGATAAATGAGAAACTGTTTTATAAAGTGTTAATTCTTTGGTATTTTTCACTTGATCAACAGTAATACAATTTGATGTCAGTTGCAAATTTCCAGATCCTAACCTTCTATTTATTAATATTTCATGCTGGGGTTCCTATGCGGTTAATCATTAATCACTTGGTATATTTTTCTTATGTTCTTATTTTTTTAGTCAGATAGTTTGTCTTTGTTACAGTCAACATAAATTTCTGTAGCAAATAATAGTCACGTCTTCGTTTTATCCTTATGAATACACTTTATAATATTAGGTACCTAATTGCATATTTATTGTATCTAATATATCTTGTATAATTCCTTTGATATTCATAAGAGTATGTAGTGTTTTCTTAGATTTTTTTCCCTAAAAAATATAGTTTTTCTGTCTATTCTATTTTATAAAAACTTGTTTTACTTGACAATACTATAAATGGTGTAATCACAGAAAATTGTTCAATGTACTGAAGTAATGAACACCAGAATAGGAACCTTTAGATAATTTTTATCAAAAATACAGGTACAGGAATTAAATTAAAACAATTACAAATTAATCGAAAATTAACTATTACACTTACATACCCACTTACTTTTATTGAAATAATACCATATTTCAAATTTTTTAAAATATTATCTTTAATAAAAACTAAACATTTTGTTTCACTAAGAGAATAGCCATTTAATGAAAAAAATTATACTCTAACAAATTTTTATATATTTCAGTAAATGAAAATAAATGATTTCCATTTTCTGAATTGTGTAATTTTTTATTAAATGCACAATTTTATAAAAAATAATTAAAAATATCTGTTACTATTTCTGACATAATTATTATAAATATTTAAATGAATGGAATGTGAATATAAGCTCAGCTGTCATAAACATAATTTGTATTTTTACGTCTTACATTATATTTAATATCTGTGTATCTATATTATAACAATGAGCAGGTAAACTAATAATAATTAATAATAAAATAAACAAAAATATGTATACAATTTATATTGATATATTTTATTTAAATTGACACACATTTTGAAGAGTATGTGAAGTATAGAATAATTATATTCTTTAATGATAAAATCAATAAAGTAAAATCAATTGTTACTAATTTGGATATAATTTTGCCTTAGATGGCGCACTCGTCTCATTCCAATGTCGATTTCTTAAGAGTGGGCATTAATGCTGAAATCAAAGAAAATCTCAATGTAAAAAAGAGTTATGGTAAGTAGCTCAGCTGTCATAAACATAATTTGTATTTTTACGTCTTGCATTATATTTAATATCTGTGTATCTATATTATAACAATGAGCAGGTAAACTAATAATAATTAATAATAAAATAAACAAAAATATGTATACAATTTATATTGATATATTTTATTTAAATTGACACACATTTTGAAGAGTATATGAAGTATAGAATAATTATATTCAAAAAGTTTAAAAATGATTTAAAGGATATTAAGTATTCCTGTTGTGACCATAGCCCCCACAAAGGGGTGTCAGTGGGTCCGGTGGCCCGGACTTTCAAGGGACCCGAAAATATAATGTAATATAATAATATTTAGTTTTTGTTTTTATTTTACAAAATATTTATAAATATAATATATAATAAATAAGAAAGATGTTTTTTTTTTTTTTTTAGTTATTAATTTTATTCTTATTTAACACATATATGAATACAATACGAGTAGTTTTATATAAACTATTATTAGATATTTTTACATTATATTATCATTAGATTAGCTATAATAATATGATAATATGAGCAAGCATATTATAGACAATTGTATTGCCAGAAGTTTATCTAAATCATTGACTTAAACACAATAATAGGATTCACATATGAAATATATGGTACCACTTAACTTTAAAATAATTATGTTTAATCAAAATCAATTGTTACTAATTTGGATATAATTTTGCCTTAGATGGCGCACTCGTCTCATTCCAATGTCGATTTCTTAAGAGTGGGGGCATTAATGCTGAAATCAAAGAAAATCTCAATGTAAAAAAGAGTTATGGTAAGTATACTATAGTATATTACAGGTAAAGTGTATTTAATTTTTAAACATTTAATATTTAATTACCATTCTGTACTTTTCTGTATAGAACCCTAAGCTGTTTTCAATTTTTAGCACCAAAATATATATTCTGAAACCATATAAAGTTCAAACAGTGATTAGTTCTGATTGAAAAAAGCAGAATGTGTATTAATTTGTGGGTTTTTTTTACAGATTGTTTTTTGTGTCATACTGTTAAGCACAAAATAAATGATTGTTCAAAATTTGGTTAGTATAGATATAAATAATTAATTAATACAAAATGCAAATACAATTAGTTCATGTTATATTGCATTTACAGCTGTTCTTTTGTTGGGTGCTCGTCATGCATTGAAGCCGGAAACTACTGCCAAACATGTACTTACCGATTTGAATGTGGCATCCATGGCAATGGCCGGCGAGATCAGTTCAGAGGATCTAAATAAACTGGCGACCACTGGGATGGTCACCAACAAGATTTACCTCAGAGCATTCAAACGAGTTGTAAAGAACATTACCAAGGAGCAGAAAAAGTTTAAAAAGGAGAAATTGGTGTCATTCGAGAAGGCAGTGGATAATGTGATGGAGGCCAAAATGAACACAATGAAGGCTAGTGTTAAGGTCGAAGAGGCGATGGTGAAGGCGATGGAAACTGGAATACAAGAGGATAAGAATGCAGCAAAAGGCGCCATAATGGAAGTTTGCATGGCCAATGCTGTGATGGAAGTGGCAATGATGGATGCCAG